CTCTTTGTTCAGTTTTTAATAATAATTTTTATTTAATAATAACTGATAGATTACCGTAAATTAATATAATAAAAATTTGTAGCATAAAGATAGTTTGATAACACAAATGTGTGGTTAATTTTTATTCTTCAGATTAAGGAATCAGATTAAGCACGATTAAACAACCGAATCTCTTACATATATTGGAAACAATCAATTTTAACACATAAATACATTTCTCAAAATGCGTTCGTCGGATGAATTAGAAAGTGACCAGCAGAATAATGAAAATACAGAAGACGAATGTGCCGATTTTTATACTCAGACGGAAAAATCAAACAATAACAAGCAGAAAGACGATGAAACGGAGGACGAAGCTCCCGATTCTCCTATACAGACGAGCACCAGCAATAAAGGGGAGTACATTCAGAGGAAACGTAAGCTGAGCGAATCTAGTGCGAATCTGGAAGAGAATGTCGAACAATCCAGAATTGTAAGTGTCGCATCCGACGATGATACATGGGCTTGCGAAATCTGTAAACAAATTTTTGTTTACAGGTAAGCAGTGAACGTATATATCTACGTAAAGTCAATGAGGGGGATTTCGCTTGTCACATATGCACTAGAAGATTTCAAACAAATGCTAGCCTGAAGATACATCTGCGTCGCCATATGAACAATCGGATGTACCTTTGTGACAAGTGTGATAAAACATACACATCTAACGAATGTTTGAAAATACACATGAGAGAGATGCATGGGAACAATACCAGGTATCCATGCGAGATTTGTAATAAGACATTTCGCCGGAAAGAGAGGTTGAATAGCCACATGTTGACGCACACGGACTACAAGGCAATTTGTCCCAAATGTAACAAGACTTTCAAATATAGATCTACTATGCTTGCGCATTACAAGAATGCACATTCCACAAAGCCATATCTGCGCCAAAATTTTGAGGTAGATATTGAGGTTTCTAGTTATGGGTCTGCAAAGACCCGGGGGTTTTTGCCAGGATCAGGTCGAGTCGAGCGTACACTTGAACCTTACTCGACGGGAATAAGCGGTCCGCAATCATATATGTTTAATGATTCCGTACAGGAGTTCATGCAAAAAAAATATGATGAATCCCGCAAGTGTGAACTATGCGAGAAATATTTCAGCACGAAAGGTTCTTTAAAGACACACATCCGTACTGTGCATTCCACAGAAAAGCCACATTCGTGTCAGCATTGCGGCGCGAGCTTTAGACTAAAAGGAGAACTCGATAATCACAAACAATATTGCAAAGACTTGCAAACATCAAGAAGTCGAAAAGCACACTTACGCGACTGTGAAGATAACAATGGTAAAAGTAAAGGTAAGGGTAAAGACGATGGAAACTCCGAGAAAATGTCTTACAAGTGTGAATGCGGCTGTAGCTTCAAGACTCAAAATCAGCTCGACAATCACCGTAGCTCATCTCCCTACGCTCCTTGCCATCCAGATAATACTGATTCCGATTGAATTTCGTATAATTAAAATATTTTTCAATGTCTGAAATTCAAAAATTATTGTTCTATTAATAATTTTCTATAGTTACATGATACAATTGAAATTAAATATGAATATATGTACACGAACATAATAGTTGCTTTTTATTTACTTAAAAACTCAGATAAATCTCACATCTGTCTTTTTTTACATTCACGTTCAAGAAAGACAGAAATGAGATTTATCTGAGTTTTGATGTAAATGCAAAGCAACTAATAATTCGAAATTATTAAACAAAAGGTTATGTGTAAAGTTTGTATAAGAAATTTTTACATTTATATTTTCAATTAGAATCTTCTCTCAAAAATTGTCTGCGAAATCGATGATGTTCGTAATACACATAATGACGTTTTTATGTACTAATAATATATGTATAACAAAATTATGACGGAAGGTTCAATGACAAAAGTTTATTAACAACTTGAAGAGTGTAGAGTGTGATTATAGAGACACGACATAAAATATGAAATCGTTGGACATGTGTGCTAGCAGTACAGCATCAATGAGAATTGATATTTTAATTAATATTCAAATTATATTTATTCATTTATATATTAATACTAACAATAAGTTCTTCTTTATTTCGTAGTTAGTTTGTGTTAGAAAAAAAATTATGCAAATCCAGGACATGCGATATTTCAACGCAAATTATTTCTTAATATTCACATATTTGCTAATAGATAATAAAATAATAATTATTGTATATATGAAACACAACATGAAAGAAACAATCTATTGCAGTAATGTACAAAAATATAATAAAAATCTTTCCTCAATGGTAAAAGTCGACCAAACTGGCAATCATTTATTATAAATATTAGTTAAAATACAACGTTTCGGCTGTCATTGCAGCCCTTTTCAAGTAAATCTATAAAAAGTTTTATAAAAATAATTATTTCATCGCAACAAATAATTATAAATTCATATACAAAAATATGTTACATATCAAACGTAAATGCATAATAAATTAATCAGTAAATCAAATTCACTGCATACCACCGACAATATTCACCATTGTTTTAATGAACAATGTAAAATTGACAGAAGTAAGCAAGAAATAAATAGATGTTAACAGTTAGCAAGAATCTTAGTCACTACGCGTTAAAAAAATCGAGACAAAACTAATGTGTCTTTCGCAATCTAAAACCTCATAACAAAGTCAAATAAATAAATAAATAGGTAAAAATAAAAATAATTTAAATAGCGTCAAAAACACGATCATAAATCCCACTAAAATTCTCCGTATCTTTCTGTAAATTAATGCTTTTACTTTGTTTTTTTATATAAAACATTTCTGCAATTTCTCTTTTTCTTGTTTGTTTTTCTTGATGCAAAATCACTGGAGAATCCCAACGAAACTCATGATCGTTGCAAGTCCGATGCAAACTAACGACTGAACGCAATGTAGTGTCTTTTTTGATATTATTTCTATGTTCTTTGATGCGCGTTTCTAAATGTCTCTTTGTCTGTCCAATATACGTAGAATCACAATTCGCACATTCAATTTTATACACGACATCGGTTCTTTTTAAGTTGTCTATCCTATCTTTTCCTCTTTTCATCAGTGTGTCTAATTTTTTTGGAACGGTATATACTACATCAATTCCATTTTTATTAATGCAAGACGTAATATTCTCGCTCAAATCTCTAATGTAAGGCAACACTATACAAGTTCGCGCATCAAATTTATTTTGGTTGAATGAGCTAAGATTACCGTCAAATTTAATCGCCCTACGTCTTTTGTTAATATTTTTGTTTATAACCGCTAACAGGTAACAATTATTACGAAAAATTCTTCTGACTATATTAATGTTTTCTTCGTGAAACATAGGGTCAGCGAGTAAAATAGCCCTATCTACTAGGTTTGTGATCACACTGAGTTTATATCTCATCGGATGATTCGATAGAAAATTTATATATCGACCTGAAAACGTAGGTTTACGGAACCAATTAGTCGTTAATCTGCCACCAATACGTATAACGTTCGTGTCTAAAAAACTCAGAGAACAATTGTTCTCTAATTCAGATGTAAAAAGTCGAGTGTGAAAACCATTGAAAATCCTAAGCATATCCTCTATTTTTCCTTATAAAAATATAATATATACATATACATATATGTGTGTATGAATTTATCACATGATACATATATAATAAATAATATATATAAAGCGCCGAAGAAATAATTTTTCATTCGATTAATTATTTCTTTCTCAACACACATATGTATAAAAGTATAAGTAAATATTTAATTACATAATTATATATATATATATATATATATATAATTTAAAAAAGAATGGTACATTTGAAGGAAATAATATAAGAAAAACGTTTATATTAATTTCTCTTTTTACGTCAATTCTAATTCAGAGATGCATAAATACATATTATATACATAGATGTTTAAATTGATTAATTTTTGTATAATATGTGAGAAACTAACAATAAGATAAATTAAAGATAAAAGTTAAATTAGTGTCATTAAAAAATGACATTTTAGAAAACATTATAAAATTAAATATATTCTAACATTATGATATATTAGAATTTAAAAATATTTATATTAGTGCTAATTATTAGGGATAATTGTATCTATCTTGATCATTATTTTCATTTTCATCTGTATTAAATTTAATTTGCGACGTAAGGATCAATTTAATTTTTATAAATAAAGCTTGTTTGTGTGTGTGTGTGAAAAAGGAAAGAAATAAAGATTAATTGTGATATAAACAAATAAAATTTAAAATATTATTACGTCTTTGGCTGTAATTTAGTTTGATTTAGATGATATTTAATTATAATCTCTATTTCTCTCTTTTCTCTCGACGCGCTTCTCTGAGACGAATAACTTTCGAATATATTTAAAATCACGGTATTGTTATTAATATATACACGTGAAAAATCGGTGTATATTTCGAAAATCCGCATAGAACGCGCTTTAGTTGGAACAACCTTGCACGTGCACGTAATACATCGAAAACTATTTATAAATGAATCCGCCATCGTATTATTGCTCGAAATAAGTTGGGATGTCTACAGTCCTGACGTCTCTACGCAGTGTCCAAAGAAACGATAATAGTATATGCGTATATGTATGAATGTATATGTGCGTATTGTAATCTGTAATAAATTTTTATAATCCTGTAATCTTGCCTCTCAAATACTTCGGTTAAATTAAAAACACATCAATTTTTTTATATTTACAATTCTATTCTGTTTCCCAATAATTAAATCTGATGTTATCTACGTTATCGTATTTCCTAATTATCTGTAGCTTAATTTCCAAAGCTTGATAATTTTTAAATAATTTGAAAAATATATAACTCGATACATTTCTAAAATAAAAGAATTAAAACTCCGAAATATTATCAATAACCACGCAAAAAAAGTGAAGATTCGAGAATAAGTCTTGCTGTTGCATATACTGTGCATTATTTACTTTTTTCCTTTCGCCTTTCTATCTTCCCCCGAAGAAGCAAAAACGAGAACGACGCGCACGCTCTTCTGACGCGAGAATAAAATAAACGTAAGACGTCGAAGAGGCGGAAAATATATCTTCGAGGACCCACGCAATATTTGGTGACGACAGAGACAACGGAAAACTGTCAGGTTGACTGTCTTTACGATTAAATCCGACGAACGATTTTCCTGCGCGAAGACAAAGAGTGTGACCGAGTGCGCGATACCAAGTCAATCAATGATTTGTCATTGTTTTAATAATCGCAAATGTTATCAGGATAAAGTGAATACCGCAACTGTGATTTTTTCATCAAACAATTAAGACTTGTGCGCAAATATTTTACAAAGGTACCTTATATTTTTATCGTATTTAATTAAATTTTCTCGTAGTTGTTCAGATTTAATTATGTTCACGTGAACAGTGATTTAATAATGAGATCTATACACGTGGATTTTGTTTAGAAATAGTCAAAAGTGAATTTGTTGCAATAAAAATACAAATTGTATTTATAAAATTTAACAACGTCAGAACATATTGTTTCATTTTTTTTCACCATATGCAAATATGATTTAATTCGACGAGGCATGACATAAGAGAGGAAGAAAGACAGGAAGAAGCTACGTTCGAAGAAATTTCCACGAGAAATATATTTTACGAGGATGCAGCGAGTCCTCAGCTTTCAGATGACCCGCAATATCGGCGAGTCCAGCGAATACGTAACGAAACGGTTGTGTGTCTCGTTTCTCTTCTCGGTCGGTTTCCTCTGTCTTCTCTGCGGCTTTCTGCTAGGCCGCTTCGTCGCCGAGAGATCAATGGAAACTCAAATGCAGAAGACACGCGACGAGTTGGCCGGAAATGGTCTGCGGAAGACGGAACATCTTCAGCAAGTGGCGCTTTTAGAATTGACGAAAGCCTCGTTCGATTACGATACAACGTACGTATCTCCAAATATTATCCTTACAAAATACGATAATAGAAAAATGACTGCAAAATTAAATTAAAATATAGAAAATTTTCGTATTTATTGTTAAAAATAATTTCTGATTTAATTCTTCGTCATAAATAATTTTGTTTTCTAGTTCAATTGGAAATTTGCAGACGCCGGATTTAATAAGAGATAATGTACGAAAAAAAAATATACGCATCAACGAGTTTTTTTCCAACTTGTCGTTCGTTCACGAAGTAATCAATAATAAGGATTACGTTCGTGCAACTATTCGCGGCTCGCGAGAACTAGGTGAGTCTCTCAGTTAATTAATGCTTCAATTAAATTTATTTCAATCAAATAAATTTTAAAAAATTTTTGTTACATATATTAACTTCTAAAAAAATGTGTTTCCTATTGTTGTATTCTTCTGAAAATAGTTTTAATTAAGCGTTTATATTTTTATAGAATAATTTTTATTTAATAATTAATCGCAATTTTGAAAATATTTTATTATTGTTATTTATTGTATATTATTTTATTTCATGATTAGAATCACGCGTGAAATAATCTTTAGAGGCCGCAATAATTTTAAATCATCGCATCATCGCATGTATCTTATTTGAGACAGGAGAATACTAATATATTTCTGCCTCACAGGATCTCGTCTGTTTATCCTATTCAATAAAATTGTTTCAGATAGATATGTTATGTTATGGGTTAATAAAAACAATATCTCAGTAGCTCTAGAATTAGCGCAGGTCCTGGACAGAATTTATTCCGCGCACGATTGGCGGCCACGACGAAGTCTGATATTCTGTGTATCTCTGACGTTCCGGAAAGCTTGTGTAGACTCCTTGCCTACTTTTATACAGCGAAAAGCCGTGGCTTACGTATCTTTGGACGATCAATCAAGGCAAAGTTCGTACAAACTTCCAGGAATTCTATGTCATAAACGCTAATACATAGAAATTCTCTGATTTTAGCTCACGTGACTTTATCCGGATCCGATGTGATACGCTCAATAGCCGTCGAAGCCGTCAAGACAATCCCTAATGGTAATTGGACATATCTCGACCATGATAAAATGTCCATCGGTCCTATTCTTCTGAATATTCCGCAAGTGACGTTTTCGTTCGTAAGTGTGTTTTCAATTCGATGTAAATGCATTTGTATGCTATACATTAGATCTCGATTATGTATATTCTTAATTCGTGATAATATTAATTAGGAAAATATCTCGGTATTATTTATCCTTTTTTTAAGGATGGTAATTCTCATGTAATACTGACGCAGATGATTAGTCAGACTATGTGGCGACTGTCCGAAAGTATAATTATTCAATGGGAACCAAAGTATTTTAATAAAACCGTTAACGAGGTATTGGAATTAATCAACAGTAAAAAATTTCAGGATGTGAAGGGTAATTTTTCATTCTTTTTACGTATCTGGCAGGATACTTAAAGAAAATTATACAATAAATTTTTATTATTTTTTCAGAAACATTGAAGAGAACGTCGAGAGATTTAGTTACCGCGGTGAAGGATCTTAATGCAAAAATTGACGCGACCGAGATTACTCAGTAAATATAACGTATCAATTAATGACTCAAACAAATTCTGTTTATTATATAAAAATGACGATATCAATAAATCACACGACACTAAGATTACATTTATTAAAAAAATAATCTTAGGATGTAACATAAAAAATTTATATTATAGTACGACGATACATTTTAGGACATTACAAATAAGGATCTGGAATGATTTGCTTCTGGACCTGGACAAGACGCTTTTATGCTTCGATCATTCGATTGCTTTGAGAATCGATGAATTGACTGCTCTCGCACAACTCGAATCTAATGAAACTTTGAATAACCTCAAAAAAATTGCAAAATGTTACGAAGATGCTATACAAATGTTGCAAGAAAAATAGAAGAAAAAAAACAACATTGGGAGATTTCGCTAGATAAATATAAATCATCTTCATCATCCATTGTGTAATGTATGTGACATATTTTTCGTTATTTTATTTTTATATGTGGAATAATATAAGTGGTAAAATAGACTGAATCATGACATTTATTAAATTTTAAATTCCTCGTAAAGGAAAAAAATTTATTTCCTTAAAAAATCGATTCTCTGTATTAATGTAAGAATATTTTAAACACTTGCTTTACTTTGTATGTTATCTTATATTTATTTTGTCTGGCCATATAAATAAATGATTTTATTTTGCAGGTAAATACAAAATAAAATATATATTTATATTTGTAATAAGTATTAAAGTACAAAAATAGTATAATATAATTCTCTTATTTCTATTTTCACATATGTCTAATATATGTTTCACATTTCGTATCTTTCTCTTTAAAGTTATACAGTTGTGATTCCTGATTTGTGTCTCACATAAAAGACGCTAAATTTTCCTTATATTATGATAAAAATATTTTAATGTAGATAGAAAATTTTCTCAAATTAGGAAGTTATATCTTTAAGGAATTACATTATGCAACATATATTAATGCATTTATCTGATCTTATATTTTAACACAATTATATTAAATAATTTGAAATGCATTGTCCACCTTAATATTTAATTATATATCTATATATATATTCATATTATCTTAATTCATCGCACTCCGCCTACACCATATCTTATTTCCCTCTCAAATTGCGACGCGTCAAGTGTCCCTTCTATAGCTTCACAATTCGGATTAAAGACAGAATATGCGCTCGGCTCACCTCGTCGCTTCGGTCCAGATCTGGTGTTCAGGCAAATAAAGACCAAAGCCGACAATACGAAATAAACAGCACCGAACTGATATTCCAGCGCGATGGCATACAACGTAATCCATAACAAAAAATATAATAAATAAATTACTTTGGTTATAACTGTACTTTTCGAATCCACTAACGAAACATCTTCCGAAACGTCATCCTGGATGTCCAGCTGCTGTTCGCATAATTTAACCTTGAAACAGAAAAAAATCATAATTTTTACAAAGAGAAGAGGCCGAGAAAACCTTATGGATCGAGGATAATCTGGCATAACCTCACCTCCTCGTCTTTCGTCAATTCTTCGGCGGATTTTTCATCACTGCGATTCCACGAAAACGCGTTTATCACGGTGTTTTTATCATCTTCATCATCTTCTCTCTATGTTTTTTGCGCCGGTAGGCTTCTAATCTTTCATTTACCGACATTGTGATTAAGCGCGATCATAATGAACGCATCACAGCAACATTGACGCGTCAGCTGCTGACAATCAGCTGTTCGTGACTTCATGAGCGCTCGTGGACTCGTGAGCGCGCTGACGCGCGATTTATCGATATATATCGATTTGCGACTCTCGACATATCGAGATAACTCAAATCATTTCAACTCTTCCTTGCTCTTTTTCTTCTTTCGTATCTTAGAAGATAGATATATTATATATAGATTCAGCTTCAGCTGTCTTTCTGCATAATAAGATAAATAAGATACTTTCCTCCCTCGCACATGTATAAGTATATCTCGACAGCCTAGAAAATAGCGTCTTTTATTTTATGTAGAAGTGCTACGTTCAAGCGACCGCCGAGAGAAATGCGCAAAGATCTATCTGTATGTAATATATCTTTGTACTATATATTACGAGCTACTTCTATAAAACTAGAAAACTTCTCAAGAAAAATTGAATTAATAAACAGGTTAATAAATAATAATTATAATAAATTATTAATAATAATAAATAATTAAAAATGATATAAAATTATATCAATATTTATTTTATCAAAATAAATAATTTAATTGAAAATATTGCATAAAAATAATTTAATAAATTAATACAAAAATTAAAAAATAAAATTTTTAAAATAGATAATAATGTTAAGATACATATATATATATTGTATATATATATATATATATATACATATTCTTTATTAAAATTAATACATTATGAATTATTTTGTATCTTAATTGAAACTTTCATTTTGAAATATTTATAAAATATTTTGGAATGTAGTTCTTCTCTCTTTATCTTTCTTATGAAACAACAAAGAAATTTTTAGATAAGAAAAATGCTTTGTTCGTTTTCTTATAATTTATATGAAAAGTTTATGTTATATTAATTTATAAAGTATTTAAAATGATAGAGATTATTTCTCTCTTTTTACAATTGACACAGCATTAATTTAACACTACATATATTTTATCATGTGAACAAAAATATATGTATTATATTCTTTATCTGAACTAAGAAGACGTATGAAGTAACGAGATATGTAAAAGCTATAAACGTTAATCTTTGCGAAGCAATTATCTTGTTGCGTCATTAGTTATCGCCTGTTGCAACCAAGGATTTTCCTACTCGGTAAATATTACGTATAGTCATTATATAGCTATAAATATTTTAGAGCTGAAAACTTGTTATTCTTTATGTTTGAATTGTTACGTTTAGAATTGCATTGTACTTTATATTATAACAGTATATATGCAAGTAATTACTATCGAGCAAACTGATAATTAATAAATAATAACAAACAATAATCTTTATTTATTTAATTATCAAAAAAGAAAAAATGTTAACAATAAAAAAGCAGCTGTAGAATCAGATTTTATACTTATTGATTGATGGCAAATTTATTTTTTGTATATTTTGTGTTAAATAATTATTACTCACACACAAAATTGATTAAATAATTATTTTTGTCTCACATATTTTTCTGAGTTTAGACTTATTCTCCTTTTTTACACTCACATGTAAACTGTAAATTTAAACTTATTCCACGTGTTTTTTACAAGTCAAACAGATTACGTTTTAGAGTATTGGTTGTTTTGCAATCCAGAAATTCTCGTTTAGTGACATTCCAATGACTCTACTTAATAAATAAAATAAATGAATTAAAATAAACTAAGAACAAATAATTTGATCGAAAAAAATAACAACTATATATGGATATTTATCAAATTTTTTTCGATAGCAGAAATGAATGAACAAGATAAATCGAAAATGTAACAGAATTCTATATTGTTTGTTAAGTGTAACTTTTATTCTCTATTATTTTATTTATGCATTATATTTGCAACGTATTATACTATATAAGAAAGTAATAACGACGTTTTCTACTCGTTCATTAAAAAATTACAATCCAGTTGCGCAATTCAAGTAATCTTATCTTAATTTATTGTTGTTAGATATTTAATCTCTCTCTTTATATATTCGAGTGTGTTCAATTATTGAAAGAAAAATCTCATGTGGCAAAATAATGTTTTCTGAATGATATTTTTTACATGTAATTTATATGAATATCTTTGTAAAATTTTCAATTTACTATTTTAAAAACTTGAAAAAAAATCTACATTTTCGTAAACTAAACTCATCTCGATGTAACATTGCAATTTTTTCCAAAATAATTTCCATAATATATTCATTTGTAAAATGTCGCATTCCGTGGCTGAAGAAAAAGATGAGACAATATTCCTATGGCCATATTATAGACATCTATTTGCTCAGAGAACATAAGGTCTTGCCACTAATATAAAGTGTTAATGGGCAAGGCCTCATGCGACACCAACGGGCCAATCTTGCATAAGAGATCAGTCTCACGGAAGTCATCGGAGCGAGAGCACGCGCGTGAAAGCTGAACACGCGCGAACGATTATGTCACGATTGTTGTGCGGATCACATGGCAATGTCGTGTGCGCTACTAATAATGATGGTCTAAATATGGAAAGTGCCAAGAGAAGTCTCACCGGTTTGACTAACAAGCCGGAAGGACGCGTTCTGGTGCTTTACACAGGTGGCACGATAGGAATGATGAGGAATGAGCAAGGAGGTGAGTAACAAATATCGCGAAATTCTGAAAAATTATAATCGCATTAATATCATAAATCAAAAGTCATTCTAGATTTCAAATTTTCATGTTTCGTATATTATATATCCTTCATTTTCTAATTCTCCGATTTTATAAAATATTTATTTTCCTCTTGTCTCATTTCATGCCCTTGATTTTTTACCTTAATTTTTTAGATTCTTAATTTTTTTCAGTGTATATTCTGTAAATTCTCGATTTCACAGATTTCTCGCTTCTATACATGTTTCAATATACATATTTCTAATGTTTTGTTTTGCATATTTTTTATTTCATAGATTCTCTTCTGCAAATCTTTAATAAATTGTTCTTCTATATTGAAATATTGCACAGATAACAGATTTAAAGAATAATTTATTTGATTCTTTTATGATTTCTTTTATTTAGAATTTAAATCGTCGGATCATTAATTATTTTTATTTCCATCATCATACAAGTAATAATAAAGTTTTTATTCTTTAGTACTGGTACCAATAGCCAATGCATTTGTCAAGAATTTGCGAAAATATCCACAGCTGTACGATCGCGAATACGCCGAGAAGAAATTCGGCGCGATGGGACCATTAGTACTGCCGTAAGTGCAGATTATGATTCAACTTGACTACAAACAATATGCAAGAATGAAAAATAATAAATAATTATTGCCATAAGCTCATATTCTTTCCCTTGTTTTAGAAACAGAATTTTAATTCCATCTTATTTTTCCATTAAAAAAATCTATTTTAATGTACTCAAACCAGAATATTAAACAATCGTATTTTTCTTACATGTATCATTCCTTGATCAAACTTTTTGTTATTTAGCATATTTAATTGCATTGAATATTACGTATTTTACGATAAAAGTTTAAATAGTCATCTGATCTTCGCATAAAAATTAATATACAAGTTATAAGAATAGAAAAAGAATAATAGTAGAATGCCACAAACTTATATTTTTTCCCTAGTTTTTTAGTTTTAGAATTTTAATTCCATCTTTTTCATAAAATATAAAATCTATTTTAATTTACTTAAACCTAAATATCAAACAATCATATATCTTTCTCTGAATGAGTTCTGTATGGTTAAAGATAAAGAATTTAATCTTTTCTCAATTTGCTTATTTTCCACAGGAAAACGCGAAGCATAAAAAATGAAAGCGAATTTAAGGAAGAATTTACGCGAATCGGTCCCACTTATCCTTCGCTTTCCCTTTCGCAATGTTAAAAGTACTTTCCTTCTAATCTTTACAGCGTGACCGCAACCGACAATCGTCGGGTCGTTTATAACGTGTTAGAGTACACAAATCTCTGTGACTCTAGTAACATGACCATGGACGAGTGGATTCGCATTGCTAACGATATCAAGGTATGTTGACTCGAGTGTGACATCTCGATAGTGACAGAGAAACATCCCGCATAAATATACCCTGATAAGAAAATATTTATAAAATTATATAACGAAATCTGAATAAAATTTGGAATGTTGCAATTATGTATTTATATTTGAAACAATACATGTAAAAATTTAGAATTTGAGCAAATATGCATATATAAATATTTGAAAAATTTATTGCTAAATTTCATTAAAACAGTAACGTTATGGCAAATTGAAATATTTGCAAAATTAAATTGGAAAAAATTGCCCAATAAATAATAAATATTTATATTATTAAGTTTTATTAGTCTTAAAATATTTTATAAAATATAAAATAAATAAATATCTATGCTTAAAAATGTACAATTATTATGAAATTATAATTTTTAAATGTTTTTTATAACATGAAATATTACACAATCTTTATAATACCTACATATAACATAATAATTGTGATAATGTAATATTTATGAAATATAATTTATATTCTAAATTGAATAAATCAATTTTTAGGCAAATATTTAGAAATTTAATACAAATATTGATTCCTTCTTTCCATGATACAATTATTGTACAATATTTGGGCGATTTTCCTATCGAGTTATATATTTCCTAACTTTGTCTAACTTATCTTATTACCATTACATTAATTATTCTCCTTAAAAAACAAGGAGAATAATTAAAGTAATGCAGGTAAAGTATATGAGAAGGAATGATTATATTTCAGTAGCGACATTTAATAGCAAGTAATTTGCGCGCGCGTTTAATTGTTCTGAAATAAATACTCAAGATAATTCGATATTCAAAAGTTAAAAAATATATATATCAATAAGACGATGAAACTTGCAACTCTGGCAGTCTTACAATCAAACTGTTATGTCTATGAAAAATACAATGTTTTGGAATAGCTCCAATTTTTATTTGTACTGTATATATGTCAGTCTGATAAACCGCGTTTGATTAAATTATCATACAAAACGATTCTCACGAACTTTATCTCTCTGTATAGGAATCCTACGAGCACTTCGACGGATTTGTAGTTCTTCACGGTACCGATACCCTGAGTTACACAGCATCTGCTCTGTCTTTTATGCTCGAGGCTCTCGGCAAGATCGTCATCCTGACCGGTTCTCAGGTGCCGATTTTCGACACCAGGAGCGACGGTCTGGACAATTTCTTGGCGTCCCTTGTAATCGCGGCGAATTACAACATACCCGAGGTATGCGTGTTCTTCGGTACAAATTTAATGCGTGGCAATCGGACGAGCAAGGCGTCCGCAACCTCCTTCGAGGCCTTCTACTCGCCGAACTTTTCACCCCTGGCCACGGCGAACATCAAAATCGAAGGTTGGAAGCAAGAGATTCGAAACACAAGAGTGCCCAGTTTTTCTACAATTTTTCCAAAATTTAAAAAAACAAGCTTTATTTTAACCAGAATATTTCAAAAATATTTTTTGAAGGCTCTATAAATATAAATGATCTATTATAATATTGTAAATAATATTTTCTAATAATGTTAATATATTTACATTTATTTATTATATATAGTTATAATAAAAATATATAGAAACATTATTAGAAAAAAATACATATAAAAATGCATGATACTAAAATTATTAAATTCTGCATAGCGATATGCAAGCGACATTTTGTTATACTATTAATTAAACTGAAAGCACATGCAATTAATTATGCAGTATTTTTCATCCAAGAGAAACGATTCTACTTAACGATAAAACTTTCGAAATATTTTATATATGATGTTCAAAGCTGATCTTCCTTCGCAGTGGACTACCGCTCGATTTTTCGCTCGTGCATCTTGGAGAAGTTCTACGTGCACGCATCACTCAATCGAAACGTAGGTCTGCTCCGACTTTTCCCCAGCATCACGTCCGAGCTGGTGAAAGTGTTTCTTCAACCACCCATCGAAGGAGTCGTGCTGCAGACTTACGGCGCAGGGAATGTTCCGACGAATCGCGAAGACATCATCGCGGAGCTTCGTGCAGCTACAAAACGTGGTGTCGTCATCGTGAATATCACCCAATGCGCGACCGGATGCGTCTCGGATGCATACGAAGCTGGAAAACTGCTATACAAAAATGGTACAAAACATATAATTTATTAAATTAAAATTTAATAATCAGAATTAAAATTTTCTTTATAATTTAATTCTTTATTTTTTGTTTTTATTTTATTTTTATTTTTTTTTATTTTTTTTTGAAAAAGTATGCATCAGCGAAGAGATATCGTTGAGAAATATTAAGTAAAATTTACGCAATATAAGATGCACGACAAGAGATACATAAATATAAATATTTCCTCCAGCGTTTGCAAGGTTCAAATGTCACTTGTCAATAAATATTGATTGCAGCAATTATTTACTTGATTTTAATACTCTATTAGGAGTGATACCGGGATTCGATATGACTCCGGAGGCCGCATTGACGAAACTCGCGTACGTCTTATCGAAACACGAGTGGGACACGGAGACCAAGCGACAAATGATGCAAACCAATTTGCGGGGCGAATTGACAGCCGGTCGACCGCCGACTATGCAAGATTGGGACTTGGTGGAGGCTGTCGCCAGATCCTTGAGATTGTCCTCGGCGGCGGAGCTCCAGGAACTGGGATCAATCCTGTTTCCGGCTATGCTAAACGCCGCGGTCATCAGACGCGATATCGTGAAACTCGAATCCTTACAAGGATACGTCAGTAATCTTTCCTCTCATTTAATTTCGCGTCAATTAATCGCGTTTTTCGATTCAAAAAATATTTTTCCGTCTTCTTTTGCATCATTGAATTTCTTCTTTTTCCGTACATTTAATTTTAACTTTCTACTTTTTCCTAAATTTTTTTTTATTTTTATTTAGAAAAAAATTGGTTTTTAAATAAAAATTAAAATAGCTATATTAAAAAGAATATTAATCTGATAGTATATCAAAATACTCTTATAATAAGCTGATTATATATTTTAATTAGATGCCGATTAGATATTGTAATATAAAAAAGATGTAAAAACCTTCTTGCAGGCGAGCTATTATTCTAATTAGCTTTTTCTATTCAGGGTGCGGATATCTCACAGGCGAACGCAGATGGCCGAACAGCTTTGCACATAGCTTGCTGCGAGGGAGATATAAAAGTCGTAAGACGTCTTCTAAAGATGGGTGCGAACGTTCACATTAAAGATCGTTTTGATCGCACACCTCTCACCGACGCGATCGAATACGATCGTCACGAGGTGAGAAAAAATTGCATTTTGAATAATTGTGTCTGATTTCAAAACTTTACTATAAATTCGAGAAAAGAATTGGAGATACTCAATTAAAATAAAAACTCGTATAAATAAATTCTTAACATTTTCCAAGTCATTGATTTTACTTTAAGTATATCTCACATTAAGAAAGTTCACAATATTATTATTATTTATATGCAAAATATATAACATATTAAAATATATGTAAAATTTTATATATAAAATATATAATTATGTAAAAAATATATAATTATGTAAAAAGAAAATCTTGACAGCTCTCGTAGTTTCATCAGTTTTTGAAAGAGATCTTATCGTTTTATGTTAATCGACTAGAGTCATTAAAAACGCATTTTCACGTGAATTTCTAGATCATCAAGGTGCTGCTGCAGTGTGGAGCGCATCTTCACGGCGATGCTGTACAGATAGGAGAGCGGATGTGCGATGCCGCGACCGCCGGAAACACGAAGCGCTTGCAGTCGTACCTGATGGCCGGCGCCGATCTGTCGCAGAAGGACGTTTCCGGACGCACGCCGCTGCACTTCGCCGCTCTTCACAATCACACGGATGCAGTCAAATTCCTGTTGGACCACGGCGCGGATCCGCACTGCATCGACATGCTGGGACAAACCGCGACGGAACTCGCGAAAGCCGCACGAGCCTCGGACGCGATCCGTCTGTTGACGTCCTCCGGACAGAACGGGGTGGTCAAAAATGCACATGCATCGTAGATAAAAGATTTTTATTTTTTTTTATGACATATAGACTCAAAAAGAGGGATTGTTGTCTTAGACAAAAATGACGGTTTCTGTCTAATGTTTGTACGACTTGCTCTATTCCTCCTAATTTCAATTTAATTATTTATAAAATAATATACTGGAAAAAAAATTGCATTTAATGAAAATTAGTTCTAAGATCAGTGCGAGTGGGTTTTAAAAACTGAGAAGTATGTCGTAGGATTTTGTACAGGGTATCAATTCTGTAACTTTTTCGAAAGTAAAAACGGGAAAAGTGAAAAATTTCCACCAATTGCACATCGATTTCATTTTAAAATCAATGCGTGATTGGCGGAAATTTTTCACTTTTCACGTTTTCACTTTAAAAAAAGTTACAGAATCGAAACCCAGGAATAGGCATAGTACATCGAAATATCCCTGGTGGAAATCTCCCTATGGGTAGTTAGTAAAAATCCACATTTTAAATAGGTACGAGTATATATCCATCAAAATGAGTATCTCTTCATATTGCCTAGGTATTTCCCTATGTCTCGTGGGTTTTTACTCTTTCAATTTCCTTTTTAAATATCTTCCCATGAGCTTTATGAATTGTGCGTCTTTTCCCTTTTCCCATATATTAGATAAATATAAATATTTTATTGATATTTTGTTTATCTAACTTGTCTCCAGTATTTTTTGTGCTCTAGCTATTTGTATGAATAGATTCCTATGGGTAGATTCCCATAAATAGATTTCTATAACTAGATTCCCTAGGTAGATTTTCATAGGTAGATTTCCTTAGGTAGATTCCCATAGGTAGATACTCATGGATAGAAGTCTAAATTATGCCCATGAGTATCTTCCCTTTCTTGCCTACCTATAGGAAAATTTCCACCAGAGATAATATTGATATAATATCGTCTAGCTATATTATGATCGAGTGATCCATGCCACTGACGAGGTATTGTTCCATTCCATGCAGTCTCTTATTCTGATAAAAAAGATAATTATTGTGAGTTAATCGTATCATCATATCTTTTAGATTTTCTTTTAGATGATTATTCTTTTGCTTTAGATAATTATGATTAAAAAGAAAGTAAAAAATGATGTTTGGTGTGCTTTGAAGTCATCAAGAAAATAGTACATAGGATGCCCATGTGGATAATAATTCAATGACGAGATTCTGTGTAATATTCTATAATTTTGGAAATTAACATCATATTTTATACTTAAATTTAATACTTGCACAACATATTTAATTATTCAAATAGTAAGATTAAAAATTTTTTTATGTCCTTATTTCTTTGTTTGTACATTACTTACCTTTAACAAATATAAAATTGTAAATAAATAAATTATATAAATTATAATATAAATATATAATAAGTAATTTATCACTATTATGAAACTCTCTTTTCTCCTACTTAATAAAAAAATTTTATTTTACAATATAATTACTTTTACAATATAATTAAAACTTAAATTAATAATTATATACATATAATTAAGAATTATATAATTAATATAATAAAGACTTTTATAAAACTATTTTTAAATATGCCTATATTATTCATAAAGAGTTATTATAAATATACATATAATAATTTTATATGTAATACTTATCAAACAATAGAATGTAAACAAAAGTGAATTAAATCTTTTAAAAACATGAAACTTTTTGGGGTAATATAATCTTATTTTATGGTTGGTTTATAATAAATTTTTACATTTAATAAGAATAATTGATAGATTATTATAAATTATGCTAAAATAATGAAGATGTGTAGTATAAAGATTGTTCAATAACAGACATGTGGTTACTTTATATTTTTTAGATTAAGGAATCAAGCACGATTAAACAACCACAGATACTCTCGATAAAGTTACAAGATATTCATCGGAAAGCGCCGTAATAAATTCAATCTAATCTTAGAATTACATTCGACGAAGATCCAAAAAGGTCTCTCTTATATAATATTGGTAACGATCAAGCAGTCTTATACATACATACATACATCTCCCAAAATGAATTTGTTAAAAAAACCAGAAAGTAACCAGCAGAATAACGAAAATACGGAGGAAGAATGTCCCGATCTTTCTACACAGGTAGAAAAATCGAATAATGACAAAGAGAAAAACGGATATACGAAGGTCGAAGGTTCCAAGTCTTCTATACAGATGAGCTCCAGTTGTATCGAAAAAAAGGAGGACATCCCGAGGAAGTGCATTGCTAAGGTGAACGAATTTAATGCGAATGAGGAAGAGAATATCAACGAGACCGGAACCGAAAATAACGTATTTATGAATAATTATATCTGCGAAGTATGCGAGGAAAATTTCGCTACGGAAATTGATTTGGAGAGACATCAGCTTCGTTATATCAATTTACGCCGGAACATCTGTAAACCGTGTAACAAGTCATTCACGGATGAAGAGTACAAGCAACACGTACTCGAGGTTCATATGGATGTATTACCATATATATGCCACTATTGCAAAGAGACATTCCGTCAGAAAGAGAATTTGCGGGACCACTTAAAGTTGCATAAGAGCAAGAATTACATTCGCAACACCCGTTTCAGCAAGAAAAGCTCGAACGGGCATATACATTTACAATTAGAAGAAGAGTCATATCTGCATGGCCGCGAGAGCTCCGAGCTGAAAATTGAGATCAAACACTATCGGTCTTTGGATAAACGGATTTTGCATAAGGAATGCATAAATCTGCTTATAGATGAGAAGTATGAACAAAGTCACAAGTGCCTCAAATGCGGCAAGTATTTCTACCAGAAGAGCGACTTGAAGAAGCACGTATTTACTAAACAATGCTCCGAGGAAAGTCCGTCGACTACGAGTCAACAAAAGGAGACTCAGTATGAGTACAATCATTACCCCGAGACATTTAGCCGGAAACAGGATTTGGAGCACAAGAAATTGTATACAGGCGGCAAGAAATATAAGTGCAAAGATTGCAGCAAATTTTTTGATCGGGAAGATGTTAGAGAGATACAATCTTCCACCGAAGACTTCGAGGAAACCTCGTATACGAGTCGGGAAAACAGCGACAATTCCGAAGAGGAATTTGATTTCGAAAATTACACAAGTGATGAGTTTTCAAAATTCTCGTAAAAATCCTGTAGACCCAAATTCTAGTACGACCTTTGTGAAAAACATTTGGCTGATGATTTGCAGGAGTACATGAAGAAGCACACGAATGACAAGAATTGCGAGTGCTATCATTGTAACACGAGTTTCGAAATGAACCAATAGAATAGGCACAAATGTAGAGGCAAGTGAAATGTACACTCCGAGAAAAATATATGTCGGTGCGGCAATAGATTTAAATATGAAAATAATTTCGGAAATGACAAATGCATTTCATAAATGATATGCTCTAGCAAGAAATAAATAACGAATCCGATTCTGGATAATTCAAATATCTTTTGAACTCAAAAATTATTCTTCTCGCAAATAACGTCCTGTAATCATATAATATTGTATATGACTAAGCTACTTTTAAGTAATGAAGTGTTGAAAAGTATGTAGTACAATTCAATCACATAGAAAATTTTGCTTGCGTGTAAATCAAAATTGAATAATTAATAACATCTTCTCTGTTTTAAATTTAGATAATAACACTATGTTGTCATATTTTAATTATTATATTATTATGTATTATTTTGTTGTTATAATTATAATAATTATAATTAATTTGATAAATAGTAATTATTGATTTATAATATATGTAATATTAATAATAATTATAAATTAAATTACACTATTGTTTATATAATTAATTGGTATAAATAATAATTATAGATTTTATTAATTAGACAATATGTGTACATGTACATGTGCAGACGTACACATACATAATAATTATAATTATCAATTTAGTGACAACTAATAATTGAACAATGTAATTTTATCATCATGAATTTAAAAATTAAATTTTTAGATAATAACACTACGTTGTCATATTTTAATTATTATCATATTATGTATCATTTGTTGTTATAATTATAATAATTATAATTAATTTAATAAATAGTAATTATTGATTTATGTAATATTAATGATGTAATATTAATGATAATTATAAATTAAATTACACTATCGTTTATATATATAATTGGTATTAATAATAATTATAGATATTATTAATTAGACAATGTGTGTACATGTACATGTGCAGACGTACATATACATAATAATTATAATTATTACTTTAGTGACAACTAATAATTAAACAATCTAATTTTATTATCATAAATTTAAAAATTAAATTTTTAGATAATAACATCTGCATAGGAAGAGTTTTTAATTTATATTTCAATTTATACATTAAATTTAAATTTTCTGTATAAAATTGGCTACAAATTGTGTGTTTTTTGTAATATACATTATACGATCTTGTTCTAATAATATGTTAATGACGGAATATTTAATTACAACGACAAATTTTAAAATACTTGCACAACGCAGCGATTATACATAGAAATAAATCATAATTTTATTATAAACATAAAACCGTTGAGCATGTACCAGCATTGTACAAAATTGACATTTTAGAAATACTAAATATATATATTCATTCATTTACCTATATTAATACTTTTATTAATTAAGTTTTTTCTTTACTTTGTAGTTATTTTGTATTATAGAATATATTACTTCCCTCACATAGAAATTTATCACTAGTAACACCAATTTATCACTTATTTCGAGTACTTAAATTACTGTATATCAGCATTTATAAATCCAGGACATGCAATATTTCAGAGCGCAAATAATTTTTTTTATTATTATTCATTAATAGATAATGAAATAATAGTAATAGTAATTAAATGTATGAAAACAAATACACAAAAGACAATCCAATTTTCAAGTAACATGTTTGGAAATGTTTATACATATTTATTAAATGGTTATATAATTCACTAATCCAAATTGACTTTATTATTTTATTAATTTGTACCATGTTATCTCCTCTCTGAATGAGTTTCTCTGTTATCGCATCGTAATAAATTCAGCTTTCAGCAGTAAAAAGATTGCAGATCGTAGTTAAATTTTATTAAAAACTCATAAATTTTAAATTAAATAATTAATATAACAAACTTTTGATATAAATCTAGTAAAATCGGAATAGACGAAAACCCCTATGTATGTACATTTACAGTCAAAGTAAGAATCATTTATATGCGTACATGATAAAAAAAGTTATTTATGTTCAAAATATCGCTGCATGACTTACGGACATGATTCAGGTAAAAATAATTACTGGAGCAATAAACATTGTATTTTGATGCTTTACATGTTAAAACGTGCATCTTCTCTACCAATCATCACGAGCCATTTAAAAAAACAGCGATGCAAAAATTCTTAGCAACGCCGATAAAGGTAATTACAACGTCTAAATGCGAATGCAGATTTTATTGTCCGTTTTTTGAAATACCTAAACAGCGTATATACAGCGTTAGTCTTTCGCTAATAATAAAAGTTAATTATTCCATTGAGTCTGATGAGTATAATATGTGAATTGCATGTACTGCAATGTTGTTTTATTTGTTCTATTTGGTGTTCTGTTCTAATTGACGATAAAATTTTTTACAATTTATTTTTGAAGACTGTTTATAATTATTTATAGTAGTCGAAAGATTTAAGAAACACATATGTGATGCATAAGTACTTTTAAGATATTTTTTAAAAATTAAATTAAACATTCAAAATTTATACAAATTATGCAAAAAATTGTCTAATCCATTCTGTCAGAATCCTTGGCGTTGTATTAATTGCAATCTTCTATTAACGGATCATATTTAATTAATTATGAGAGGCTCAACTATATGAGTACCACGTACGTAGTTCGACCACCGTAAAATAACATACTGACTTTTTTCACAAAGATGAATGGAGTATCGAATGTAAAGGCGAAACATATTGGATACAATTTGTAGAGGACTACGAATCATCTCTATTAATATCAAGAATTCCCAAAATTATTAATCAGTCACTAGTTTTTGAATAGAAGTTGAAGAAATTAATCGACCAAACTAGCGAGTAAATGATTTATTCAGCTTCACGACGTTTTGATCATGTGACTGTGTTCCTTAAGTGAAATACTAAAATATTTTATTATATAAATAATTATTAAAGTATGTAGATCAAATAAATTCTTTCAGGTCAACATATCACTAAAAACAAAAAATCATACTTACAAAAGAAATCAATTAAAGGTTAACACATTATTATATAATTATTTGTGTAATAAAATATTTAGTGTTTTACTTAGTAAGGACCACAATCACATGGTCGAAACGTCGTAAAGCTGAATAAATCATTTACTCGCTAGTTTGGTCGATTAATTTCTACAATATCGAGAATGTTTATCCAAAGATATCTTGCAAGACATATCTATCATTAACTCATCTTGATGATCTGAACGAAGAATTGCAATCGTTAGACAATTATTCAACATAATACCCAACCGAATAGTTTTGAAAAGAAAATAAAAATTTTGAAAGAACCGCACTATGAATTATCGAAATATAAGATATTGAAAGTACATGTTTAATTAATTCGAAGATAACGGAGAACAGATGCAGCTTCTTGTAAGTAAAGAATAAAGGAATATTTTCTGTACCTACTATAATCTATTGATCCACTGCAATCTTCATATTCGCGCGTAATTTTATAAGTAGCTGTCCTATTTGATATGAGCTACCGATAAGCATCCGCACGGCGGCAGAAATTTAATTGGCGATGTGAGCAGCTATCACTTCTTTTAAATGGTATCGAGGAAAATACACAACTGCGAAAGATCCTACACGTGTAAATCTTATGGCAAATTCTTCAATCGGCAAAAGTTTCTGCATATCCATCGGTTCTATCATTTTCAAGTTTTGTTGCATCATTGTGACCTGTCCGGCCGAAGTTTCCGGAATATGATGACAAGCATATATTCTAGCATTCCGATCGAAAACTTGTGATATCTTTAGCAAGCGTTCCATAGTAAAAATTGCATTATTCATCATTTCGTGCACAATGATCAATGTTGCATATTTGTGCAATTTACAATGTCGAAATTCATTCAGGACTGTAATTTGCAGATGCAATTGAAAAATTTTTACCATTATCAATATATTTGTCGACCATAAATACGTCACCACAGAATTGGTGTCGGTTATGCTATAACATTACTTAGATCAGTGTGTGATGTAAATGAGATTGTAAAATACATTATAACAGTTGTATTTATTAACATATATATATATATATATATATATATATATTATTTAAAATTCAAAAATTAATTATCGTTTTATTAGTCACTAAAACTTATAAAAAATAAAAGTGCGCGTTTAAAAATATAAGAGAACATGCAAATAATCATCAGTTCGACAATAAAAATAGTTTTAAAAAAGTATAAATATCTAACGTAATTTTAGTGTCGTGATTTACATGCCATTACGTTAGATATTTATACTTTTTTAAAACAATTTTTATTGTTTAACTGATGATTATTTGATTCATGTTCTCTCATATTTTTAAACGCGCACTTTTATTTTTCATAAGCTTTAATGACTAATACAGCGATAATTAATTTTTGAATTATAAAATTTAGAGGTTTCCATTTAGATAATAAAACTTCAATTTACGATTTTTTCAATATTTTTTATTTTGGAATCTACAATTATTTCATTAATGTATATCGAACTATTTAAAAACGCGCTGTTTTATTTTCTTAGGTTTTAATCACTAGCGGCGATAATTGAATTTTCCTAATCATAATTTACTCCTATAATTTGCTCCTATAATTTGCGTTTTGTCACGTTTTTTTACATTTTTTTTAACTATTGAAATGAATAAGTAATGTATATTTGTTTGGTTCTAAAATGTTAAAAGTCAACACTATATTTTTATGAACTCCATACGGCGCATTTTTTTATTATGTGTATTAAACAGAAGTTGTAAGTTGGTACGTTCTTGATGTAATCTGCAGATAATGTACTATCTAAATATTGAAATATGCAATATTTTTGGCTAGTTTTATAGTATTATAAACCAATAATTGATATTCTGTCATTTTTTATCGTGATCTTTTCTGTGTAGAACTTTTTGTATGTATTAATAATAAATAATTGGGTCTTTATATATTTACAACGTTTATTCTATTTCTGTGAAAAAATCCATATGTACAATATATACATATATTTCGAAAGTTACCGACAAAGAAACAATTTTTTACGCGTCCACGATAAATCTCAATAATTATTTTTGTTTAAATTATTGTCGCTGTCATGATTTGCACGCACAATTCAAATAAAAGCAGGTACTGAAAATATTGACGTATTTGATGTTCTATGTGTTAAGATGTGCATCTCTCATCACCGACGCATTCCTATCAATCAGCGATGGCACGTGGTATCTGAATTGAAGAAGGAATGCAAATGTAATTTATAAAGCAGTAAAGAGTTCTAGAAGGTGTAAATATGAAAGAGGAATTTTTTGAATGTTTCTCGACATATCTCTCTATGTGCATCGCATATAACACGTTAGTCATTAAATCTTAATGCATTTAATGAACGGAATATGTCGATTCTACCCGCAGCATTGTGTTTGAGTTGTGTGCTGTGTATAACATTGCTATTTTAATTAATATTCCGATTTTATGATATTTGAATTTCAAGACTGTCTATAACTATCTATAATATTTTCATCATTTAAGAGAAACATCTACAATGCTGAAATGCTTTAAAATTGTATCTTTTAAAGATAAATTTCACATTAGAATGTACGTCATCTGAATCGTGCGAAAATTGCGTTGGAACGAGTCAAAAACATTGTATCACCGAAAACGTGTGATTCAATGTAGAATTAATTAGAGAACCGTACGCCTGTATATGCAGCTATCGTTTTCGTATTAATTATAAATTGAAACTGATATTGTCTGATTCTTTCTGATTAGCAATTTTAACATATAATAATAATTTTTACAGACTTTCATTCTGATAGAAGATATAATTATTCTTTGCTAATCATAAGAGATTTTATTTTTTAAGCGAGCCCGGTTGCTGAGAAGTAACTCTCATAAAAACACACACATAAACATTACCAGTATTTAATGTTTATTTGCGAATACGTCCGGATAAAACATATTTTAACATTATACACAGTACAGATCAGCAAAGTTTGTATTAGTAAAATCAAAGGCGATTATACACGCTGTAACATTGTGTCAGTTAAAGAGAAACGAGATTATTAGAAATTACGAAATAAATTACTGTGTCACCATTGTTTTTTACGATACGTATCTGTGCGAATTCCTGATTCAGAACAGCAAGATCTGAACACATTTGAATAAAATCTTCAAGTAAAGGTGGTGAAAAACAATCTACAGATAATCTAGATATGCGATATGGAAAAAATCAACAGTGACGTACAAGTTAGACACAGATTTTAAAAAATCATGTTAAAAGGTAAATTATGCGCAAATTATTTATATTGGATTTAATTTTTCATTATATTTAATATTGTAATATTTTTTAGATTTTTTCACAGTTATGATTAAAACAACAAAGTAAAAGGTACGCTTTGATTTAGATGCTCTTAAGATAATATTATATAGAAGTTTTACATGAAATAGCAATATTGTTTAATATTTTGAATTTTAGAATTTGACATCAAATATTGCTGACAAATTTGTTAAATAAAAGTAGTAGAAGGCGGATCAAGGAAAAACTGTAAGTAGATTTTAGAAAATAATTTAAAATTATTATAGAAAAATATGAACAATCAAATAAATCGAACACATTGTTATATCTTCGACGTTTTAATTGTATTGAAGTATATCTTGCATGGTCATGTGTTTAAAATATATATATATATATATATATATATATATATATATATATATATATATACAGGGTGTCCCTAAAATCCGTTACCACCGCTAATATTTCGGAACTGAATCAAAATTTAGAAAAATCGCAAAACACGTGTTCGATTATTTCAAGGGGCTACTCTTTTAAGGGGGTCGGATGGGTTCGCTCTTCATGGAGGTTTAAGGGGGGCGATCCCCCTTGAAAATCTTAAATAGGACCTTCTATTTTTTATTGCATATTTTTATAGCTTATTTCAAGAGCTTACCAAACATTATAAGAAAATATTTATTCATTAAGTATTTTTCGAGTTATGAGACTTAAAAGTTACAATTTGTTAGTATCGGCATTAACAAAGATGTGGCAATAATATGTTTATTTTTTGTGTTTTATTAGTCTTTTTTTAAGTTTTCTTCTTAATTCTATTGTTGTTTCTAAGTTTAGAAACTTTTTTTTGTGTTACTATAATTACACTTTACCGCACTAGTGCGGAAAAAAATCATGTTTCGTCTCGATTGACATAACAAACTTGAACGTAACAAAATTCACGCGAGACAATACGTCAATTTGTTATAACCTTCACTATTCAAGAAGAATTAAATGGCTAAAAGAAACGAGTATTCAAGACAGTCCACGCCGTTAGAACTTATAGAAGCAGCTGAATCACGAAGATTTTATTACCGAAAAAATCAAGAGATAAGTACGTGAATAAAAACATCTCAAATCAAATTTTCGCGATAGGCATTACAAAAAATATTGTAGGTATGTGGCATGTGCGGAGAACAACGAATACATCGCACGTAAAGTTGCCGCATTCGCCTTAGCTTATGATGCATTCACACTCGTACTCGTGTAAATGCATCATAAGCCTTCGGCTCATGCGGCAACTTCACGCGCGATGTAATTCGTTATTTTCCGCACTTGTCACATAAGATACTATTTCTTTACGGAAAATGTATGTATGTATACCCAAAGAAACATTTCAAATCTATTGAAAAATGCAAATTAAAAAAAAATTTTTTAAACTTAGAAACAGCAATAGAATTTAGAAGAAAACTTAAAAAAAAACAATAAAACACAAAAAATAAACATATTATTGTTACATCTTTGTTAATGCTGATACTAACAAATTGTAACTTTTAAGTCTCATAACTCGAAAAATACTTAATGAAAAAACATTTTCTTATAGTGTTTTTGAAAGCTCTTAAAATAAGCTATACGAATATGCAATAAAAAATAGGAGGTCCCATTTAAGATTTTCAAGGGAGATTGCCCTCCTTGGACCCCCACCCCTTGGATACATATTATATTCTACTGTTTTCTCTATAAATACAATTAGAATCTTTTTAAATATTATCTTTTCTTAAAAAGAGACCTAGAACGATAAAATTTTTTATATTTGGAAAGAATATTTTTATCTAATTATTTAATACATAATGTTTTCCATTGGTTTCTTTCTCTTTTCTACTGAAATATGAATCATAACTCAAAAATTGAAGCATAAAATAAAAAAAATTGTTTTTATATGTATATCATTTTAACATTAATTTCCTCTTTCACAATTACAGTTATTTATTATTTTTAATTATTTTGGCATTCTAATAGTCTTTTTATTGTAAGAAATAATAATAAAGGGATGCAAGGTGCCGTTTTTAATAATTCAACTACCATCAATTTTTATATTTGCTTCATCAAAAGTCATTTTTTCTAATAAATGGGAAATATATTTTTACAATATAATTGCATTTATAATTTAAACATTAAAATTTTTAAATTATATTTTAAAATTATATTAACAATATATTTAATAAAAATTATATTTATATTTAATATTTTATATAAAGAATATATAAAGATTATTTCTTCAAGATTATATATAATATATATATATATATATATATATATATATTTATATTTATATGTAATGTATAAATATTATTCATAAAAATTTATTATAAATATATAATTGTGTATGTGAAATCTTTATCAAATAATAAAAAATCAACAGAATTGAATTAATTATTATGACAATATGAATGTTTGTCTTTGATAACATAATCTTATTTTATGTTTGGTTTTAATAGATTCATTATTTAATAATAATTTATAGATCGTCGTAAGTTACATTGATGTAATAAAGATTTGTACTAAAATAATGTTTAATAATATACATATATATAATTATTTTTTACTTCTTAATATTAGATATCAGATTAATCACGATTAATCAACTGACATAATTGCTCTGGTATAGTTACGATATACTTGCAGAAAAAACACAGGTACCAAATAAATTTGATTCAAAAAGTAACATCTTTCTTACATATAACATTGATAAGGATCAGTCTATTGAAGCTTCACCGTCAATTATAGATTCTTTCCTCAAAATGAAAAAATCAAAAAGTGACAAGCCGAATGAAGAAAATGTGAAACCCGGTCCCTCTAGACAAATAGAAGGATCAACAAATGACGAAAGTTCGGAGGACAAAGGTTCCAATCTCTCTAAACAAATGGAAAAATTAAACAGTGACGACAACACAGAAGATGAAGCTTCCAGTTCAACTAGACAGCCGAGCGCAGAAAAGAAGATATTTATTTGCGATATCTGTAATAAAGAATTTCAAACAATAAGTAATTACGGTCGACATCGACGCAAACACTTCGTAAAAAATAAGTTAGTATGCTCTAAATGTTCTCAAACATTCAATGCTTCACAAGACCTAAAAGTACATTTAAAAACCTGCAAACATAAGATATATGTTTGCAAGAAATGCAAGAAACAGTTCGATTCTGTATACAAATTGAGTAAACATTTGCAGTCGACACACAATGTTAATATCTTGGAGTGTGATAAGTGTGAGAAATCGTTTAAGGACTGTGGTCGCTTTAGAGAACACTATATGATACATAGAAACAACTTACCGTTTAAGTGCAATGTTTGCGATAAGAAATATCCCACAAAGAAGAAATTATTGGAGCACGAAATGGTGCATAAAGACGAGAAAAATTACACATGCAACGAATGCAACAGATGTTACAAGAGACAGACAGCTTTGAATCGTCACATACGAAAGAATCACCCCAAGAAAAATTTGTCGCAGGATGAGCAACATTGTGAAGGCTCTAGATCAAAAATTAATCTCAAACGGAAACTGTCCGAATCTAACGAGAATATATCTAAACATATTAAGGGTGCACTACAGCAAATAACACCGGCAGGTAGTCGGAACGAGATCATGAAGGACAAAATTGACTACGTTGAACATATTGAACATTCCGAGAAAAATCCGCCTACGAAACAACAACGCGACGAGGGAGCAATTAAGTCCTTGATCAATGAAAATGAGGATTATATGTCAACAGATAAACTGATAATTGAATATGGAAAACAACAGGTGGCACTTAACGAAAGCTTGAATTCCCAATTAAACCCCTCAAAACAAATTGAACATTCCGAGAAAAATCCACCTACAAATCAACAACATGGTGAAAGCTCTGAGTTTCAAATTAACGTGCAAGCATCAACAAGTAGAGTTGAGTCCATCGACAATATCTATGATATATTTGGATCTCAGGACGACGTAGAAAAGCAGATTTATCTTCCGGATGAGATTGAAGAACAAAATTGGCTTCATGATAACAATGATGATAACAATGTCATAATTGGATCTGACAATCAGCAAGCAGTTGAAAAATTTATCCACATGGTAAATGCACTTAAAACCGACAGCTCCGAGCTCGACATTGAAACGCAAGCATTGCAAGCATCAACAAGTAGAGTTGAGTCTATCGACAATATCTATGATATATTTGGATCTCATCAGGACGACGTAGAAAAGCAGATTTATCTTCCGGATGAGATTGAAGAACAAAATTGGCTTTATGATAACAATGATGATAACAATGTCATAATTGGATCTGACAATCAGCAAGCAGTTGAAAAATTTATCCGCATGGTAAATGCACTTAAAACCGACAGCTCCGAGCTCGACATTGAAACGCAAGCATTGCAAGCATCAACAAGTAGGGTCGAGATGATCGAGGTCGAAGAACTTCAACAGCAAAGTTCATATGATTGCTACCGTTGCGCCGCGACATTTAGAAGGAAACAAGATTTGCAGAAGCACATGAAACTGCATACGGACGGCAGTAAATCTATATTGTGTGACGTATGTGGCGAGCTTTTCGAGGAAGAGAACATAGAGCAGCACAAATGTATTAAACATTCCAAGAAGAACGTATAAATGTCTTAGGTACAGCAAAAAGCTCGGGCTGGGAGAAAATTATTTTGAAAATCACGAAAAGTCTTACCAATTCTCGCAAGAAAGTAAACACAAGTTTCAGTACGAATATTACAAGAAGACATTTGGCTTGAAATTGAGATTACTGAAGCAATTCCTACAGCACCAATACTACAGGAAATTGAAATGTAAAATTGCGACATGAATTTCGGTAAGTTCGACGAATGGTACAGACACAAATGTTCAAACGAAGAAAATATTGCCAAGGAGGAGCCATTTCATTGATGGTGCAACAAAAGTTTCAATCATAAAAAAAAATTAGAGAGTTTACCTACTTAATTGTATAAAATTTTAGCCATATTTATATGTAAGTGACCAATCCGAGATTCGAATTGAATTTCGGATAATTTGAATCTTCTTCGATATATAAAATCGAAAATTATTTTTCTACTTATAATTTTATATAATCGCATAATGCTACTTCAGAAATATATAGATGTTTGTACACAACCATATATATATATATATTTTTATTTTTTTTAAATTTATATTTATGTATAATTAAATTTATATAATTAAATTTATAAAATTAAATTTATATTTATATATAATTAAATATATTTATATATAATTTAAATTTATATTTATAAATTATATTTTTATTTTCTTAATATGTAAATATAAATATATATATATATATATATATATATATATATATATATAAATATCTACAATTTTCAATTTTCAATATTTAAAATCGTTCTCTTTATTTTTGGATGTATCTCATTAACATTTATCCTGTATGTAAAATATGATTCGTTTAAGTATATAGATTTATATATATTTTAATTATATACTTTACAAACCAAGTAACGTTAATGATGAGATACAAAAAGATGATAATTTTGAATATAGATATGCAAAAGAAAATTATATATAGTACAATTTTGTCACATAGAATGTTTTGCTTGCTCATAAATAAAAATGGAATAATTATAACATCTTTTCTGTTTTAAATTCGGATAATAACACTATGTTGTTATAATTTAATTATTATATTTTTATTTATTAATTTGTTGTTATACTAATAATTATTATTATTCTGATAGATAGTAATTATTGATTTATAATATATGTAATATTAATGATAATTGTAAATTAAATTACACTATCGTTTATATATATAATTGGTATTAATAATAATTATAAGTTTTATTAAGAAGACAATGTGTGTATATATGTACATGTGCAGACGTACACATATTTTTATATGTGCAGACGTATTTATACATAATAATTATAATCATTACTTTAGTGACAACTAATAATTAAACAATCTAATTTTAACATCATGAATTCATAAATTAAATTTCAAGATAATAACACCCGCACAGAAGAAATTTTTAATTTATAAATTCCCAAAATTATTAATAGCAGTCACTATAGTGTTTAAATAGGAGTTGTAGAAATTAATCGAGAAAAGAATCTGACTTATGTAGTTTTAAGAAATTGTGACTGACATATTTTTTTTATAGTAATGTCTTAACTTTAACTGAATTCTTTTTGTTTCACTTGATGGGGACCTCAATTACATGGTCGAAACGTCGTGAAGCTGAATAGATCATTTGCTCGCTAGTTTAGTCGATTAATTTCTACAACTCCTTTTTAATTTAAATTTCAATTTATACTTTAAATTTGAATTTTATGTGTAAAATTGGTTACAAAATGTGTGGTTTTGTTATATACATTATACGATCTTGTTCTAATAATATGCTAATGACGGAATATTTAATTACAACGATAAATTTTTAAATATTTGAACAACGCAGCAATTATATATAGGAATAAATCATAATTTTAATATAAATATCAAACCGTTGAGCATGTACTAGCATTGTAGAAAGATGACATTTTAGTAATACTATAAAAATATATATTCATTCATTTATATTAATGATAAGTTTTTCCTTTACTCTGTAGTTACTTTGTATTATAGAATATATTACTTAAATCTAGGACATGCGATATTTCAGAGCGCAAATTATGTTTTTATTATTATTTACTAATAGATAATGAAATATATAATAGAAATAGTAATTATACGTATAAAAACAAATACACCAAAAACAATTTAATTTTCAAATAATATGTTTGGAAGTGTTTGGAAATGTTTATACATATTTATTAAATGGTTATATAATTCACTAATCCAAATTGACTTTATTATTTTATTAATTTGTACCATGTTATCTCCTCTCTGAATGAGTTTCTCTGTTATCGCATCGTAATAAATTCAGCTTTCAGCAGTAAATAGATTGCAGATCGTAGTTTAATTTTATTGAAAAAACATAAATTTTAAAATAAATAATTAATATAACAAATTTTCAATATAAATCTAAGAAAATTGAAATAGATAAAAACCATCATGTATGTACATTTACAATCAAAGTAAGAATCACTTATGTGCGTATATGATAAAAAAAATTATGTTCAAAATATCGCTACATGACTTACGGACATGATTCATGTAAGAGCAGGTACTGGAGCAATGAACATTGTATTTTGATGATTTACATATTAAAACGAGCATCTTCTCTACCAATAATCACGGGTCATTTGAAGTAACAACGATGCAAAAGTTTTTAGCACCGCCGATAAAAGTAATTACGATGTCTAAATACAAATGCAGATTTTATTGTCTGTTTTCTGAAGTACCTAAACAGCATATATACAACGTTAGTCTATCGCTAACAATAAGAGTTAAACTATTCCATTGAGTCCGATGAGTATAATATGTGAATTGTATATACTGCAATGTTGTTTTATTTGTTCTATTTGGTGTTTCTGTTATAATTGACGATAAAATTTTCTACAATTTATTTTTGAAGGCTGTCTATACTTATTTATAGTTGTCGAAAGATTTAAGAAAAACATGAGCAATACATAAATGCTTTTACAATGTTTTAAAAAAAATTAAATTAAACATTCAAAATTTATAAAAATTATGCAAAAATATTGTTTAATACATTTGGTCAGAATCCTTGGCGTTATCTCAATTGCAATTTACTATTAACGCAAATCATATTTTATTAATTATGAGAAGCTCAATCATGAGTTGTCACGTACGTAGTTCAACCGCCGCGAAATAACACACTGACCTTTTTCAGATGAAAGTATGAAGTATGGAATGTAAAGGCGAAACATATTGGATACAATTTGTAGAGAGACTACGAATCCTCTCGATTAATGTCAAGAATGTTTATCCAATAATATCTTGCAAGACATATCTATCATTAATTCATCTTGATCTGAACGGGGAATTGCAGTGGCTAAACGATTATTCAACATAATACCCAACCGAATAGTTTTGAAAAAAAAAATAAATAAAAGTTATAAATAAACCGCACTATGGATTATCGAAATATAGGACATTCAAAGTATATGTTTAATTAATTCGAAGATAACGGAGAACAGATGCAGCTTCTTGTAAGTAAAGAATGAAGGAATATTATCTCTACCTACTATAATCTGCTGATCCACTGCAATATTCATATTGGCGCGCAATTTTATAGGTAGCTGTCCTATTGGATATGAACTTCCGATCAGCATCCGCAATAAATACGTGCAGAACAATCACGACGGCGTCAGGAATTTAATTGGCAATGTGAGCAGCTATCACTTCTTTTAAATGGTATCGAGAAAAATACACACCTGCAAAAGATCCTACACGTGTAAATCTTATGGCAAATCCTTTCATCGACAAGATTTCTGCATATTCATCGGTTCTAGAACATGCAAATAATCATCAGTTCGACAATAAAAATAGTTTTAAAAAAGTATAAATATCTAACGTAATTTTAGTGTCGTGATTTACATGCCATTACGTTAGATATTTATACTTTTTTAAAACAATTTTTATTGTTTAACTGATGATTATTTGATTCATGTTCTCTCATATTTTTAAACGCGCACTTTTATTTTTCATAAGCTTTAATGACTAATACAGCGATAATTAATTTTTGAATTATAAAATTTAGAGGTTTCCATTTAGATAATAAAACTTTAATTTACGATTTTTTCAATATTTTTTATTTTGGAATCTACAATTATTTTATTAATGTATATCGAACTATTTAAACGCGCGCTGTTTTATTTTCTTACGTTTTAATCAATAGCGGCGATAATTTAATTTTCTAATAATAATTTACTCCTATAATTTGCTCTTATAATTTGCGTTTTGTCACGTCTTTTTAAATTTTTTTTAACTATTGAAATATAAGTAATGTATATTTGTTTGGTTCTAAAATGTTAAAAGTCAACACTATATTTCTATGGACTCCATACGGCGCACATTTTTATTATGTGTATTAAACAGAAGTTGTAAGTTAGTACAATCTTGATGTAATCTGCAGATAATGTACTATCTAAATATTGAAATACAATATTTTTGGCTAGTTTTATAGTATTATAAACCAATAATTGATATTCTGTCATTTTTTATCGTGATCTTTTCTGTGTAGAACTTTTTGTATGTATTAATAATAAATAATTGGGTCTTTATATATTTACAACGTTTATTCTATTTCTGTGAAAAAATCCATATGTACAATATATACATATATTTCGAAAGTTACCGACAAAGAAACAATTTTTTACGCGTCCACGATAAATCTCAATAATTATTTTTGTTTAAATTATTGTCGCTGTCATGATTTGCACGCACAATTCAAATAAAAGCAGGTACTGAAAATATTGACGTATTTGATGTTCTATGTGTTAAGATGTGCATCTCTCATCACCGACGCATTCCTATCAATCAGCGATGGCACGTGGTATCTGAATTGAAGAAGGAATGCAAATGTAATTTATAAAGCAGTAAAGAGTTCTAGAAGGTGTAAATATGAAAGAGGAATTTTTTGAATGTTTCTCGACATATCTCTCTATGTGCATCGCATATAACACGTTAGTCATTAAATCTTAATGCATTTAATGAACGGAATATGTCGATTCTACCCGCAGCATTGTGTTTGAGTTGTGTGCTGTGTATAACATTGCTATTTTAATTAATATTCCGATTTTATGATATTTGAATTTCAAGACTGTCTATAACTATCTATAATATTTTCATCATTTAAGAGAAACATCTACAATGCTGAAATGCTTTAAAATTGTATCTTTTAAAGATAAATTTCACATTAGAATGTACGTCATCTGAATCGTGCGAAAATTGCGTTGGAACGAGTTAAAAACATTGTATCACCGAAAACGTGTGATTCAATGTAGAATTAATTAGAGAACCGTACGCCTGTATATGCAGCTATCGTTTTCGTATTAATTATAAATTGAAACTGATATTGTCTGATTCTTTCTGATTAGCAATTTTAACATATAATAATAATTTTTACAGACTTTCATTCTGATAGAAGATATAATTATTCTTTGCTAATCATAAGAGATTTTATTTTTTAAGCGAGCCCGGTTGCTGAGAAGTAACTCTCATAAAAACACACACATAAACATTACCAGTATTTAATGTTTATTTGCGAATACGTCCGGATAAAACATATTTTAACATTATACACAGTACAGATCAGCAAAGTTTGTATTAGTAAAATCAAAGGCGATTATACACGCTGTAACATTGTGTCAGTTAAAGAGAAACGAGATTATTAGAAATTACGAAATAAATTACTGTGTCACCATTGTTTTTTACGATACGTATCTGTGCGAATTCCTGATTCAGAACAGCAAGATCTGAACACATTTGAATAAAATCTTCAAGTAAAGGTGGTGAAAAACAATCTACAGATAATCTAGATATGCGATATGGAAAAAATCAACAGTGACGTACAAGTTAGACACAGATTTTAAAAAATCATGTTAAAAGGTAAATTATGCGCAAATTATTTATATTGGATTTAATTTTTCATTATATTTAATATTGTAATATTTTTTAGATTTTTTCACAGTTATGATTAAAACAACAAAGTAAAAGGTACGCTTTGATTTAGATGCTCTTAAGATAATATTATATAGAAGTTTTACATGAAATAGCAATATTGTTTAATATTTTGAATTTTAGAATTTGACATCAAATATTGCTGACAAATTTGTTAAATAAAAGTAGTAGAAGGCGGATCAAGGAAAAACTGTAAGTAGATTTTAGAAAATAATTTAAAATTATTATAGAAAAATATGAACAATCAAATAAATCGAACACATTGTTATATCTTCGACGTTTTAATTGTATTGAAGTATATCTTGCATGGTCATGTGTTTAAAATAAAAATATTATATATATATATATATATATATATATATATATATATATATATACAGGGTGTCCCTAAAATCCGTTACCACCGCTAATATTTCGGAACTGAATCAAAATTTAGAAAAATCGCAAAACACGTGTTCGATTATTTCAAGGGGCTACTCTTTTAAGGGGGTCGGATGGGTTCGCTCTTCATGGAGGTTTAAGGGGGGCGATCCCCTTGAAAATCTTAAATAGGACCTTCTATTTTTTATTGCATATTTTTATAGCTTATTTCAAGAGCTTACCAAACATTATAAGAAAATATTTATTCATTAAGTATTTTTCGAGTTATGAGACTTAAAAGTTACAATTTGTTAGTATCGGCATTAACAAAGATGTGGCAATAATATGTTTATTTTTTGTGTTTTATTAGTCTTTTTTTAAGTTTTCTTCTTAATTCTATTGCTGTTTCTAAGTTTAGAAACTTTTTTTTGTGTTACTATAATTACACTTTACCGCACTAGAGCGGAAAAAAATCATGTTTCGTCTCGATTGACATAACAAACTTGAACGTAACGAAATTCACGCGAGACAATACGTCAATTTGTTATAATTAAAAGGCTAAAAGAAACGAGTATTCAAGACCGTCCACGCCGTTAGAACTTATAGAAGCAGCTGAATCACGAAGATTTTATTACCGAAAAAATCAAGAGATAAGTACGTGAATAAAAACATCTCAAATCAAATTTTCGCGATAGGCATTACAAAAAATATTGTAGGTATGTGGCATGTGTGGAGAACAACGAATACATCGCACGTAAAGTTGCCGCATTCGCCTTAGCTTATGATGCATTCACACTCGTACTCGTGTGAATGCATCATAAGCCTTTGGCTCATGTGGCAACTTCACGCGCGATGTAATTCGTTATTTTCCGCACTTGTCACATAAGATACTATTTTTTTACAAAGAATGTATGTATGTATACCCAAAGAAACATTTCAAACCTATTGAAAAATACAAATTTTAAGAAAATTTTTCAAACTTAGAAACATAGCAATAGAATTTAGAAGAAAACTTTAAAAAGACCAATAAAACACAAAAATAAACATATTATTGCCACATCTTTGTTAATGCTGATACTAACAAATTGTAACTTTTAAGTTTCATAACCCGAAAAATACTAAATGAAAAAACATTTTCTTATAGTGTTTTGGAAAGCTCTTGAAATAAGCTATACAAATATACAATAAAAAATAGAAGATCCCATTTAAGATTTTCAAGGGGGATCGCCCTCCTTGGACTTCCTTGAGGAGCGCCCCATCTGACCCCCTTAAAAGAGTAGCCCCTTGAAATGATCGAATACGTGTTTTGCGATTTTTCAAAATTTTGATTCATTTCCGAAATATTAGGAGTGGTAACGGATTATAAGGATACCCCGTATATATATTGTATATATGAAGAAAGAGTTTTTTGTGATATGGAAATCAGTAATTATACTTATATTTTTTTATTAAAAATTATAAGATTAAAAATTTGATTTTCTGAATCATAACTCAAAAATTAAAGCATAAAATAAAATCAATTATTTTTATATGTATATCTTTTTGGCATTAATTTCCTCTTTCACGATTACAGTTATTTATTATTTTTAATTATTTTGGCATTCTAATAGTCTTTTTATTGTAAGAAATAATAATAAAGGGAGTGCAAGGTGCCGTTTTTAATAATTCAACTACCAACAATTTTTATATTTGCTTCATCAAAAGACATTTTTTTCTAATAAATGGGAAATATATTTTTACATTATAATTGCATTTATAATTTAAACATTTAAATTTTTTAAAATTATATTTTAAAATTATATTAACAATATATATATTTAATAAAAATTATATTTATATTTAATATATTATATAAAGAATATAAAAAGATTATTTCAAGATTATATATAATATATATATATATATATATATATATATATATATATATTTATTTATATTTATATGTAATGTATAAATATTTATTCATAAAAATTTATTATAAATATATAATTGTATATGTGAAATCTTTATCAAATAATAAAAAGTCAACAGAATTGAATTAATTATTATGACAATATGAATGTTTGTCTTTGATAACATAATCTTATTTTATGTTTGGTTTTAATAGATTCATTATTTAATAATAATTGATAGATCGTTGTAGATTACATTGATGTAATAAAGATTTGTACTAAAATAATGTTTAATAATATATATATATATATATATATATAATTATTTTTTATTTCTTAATTTTAGATATCAGATTAATCACGATTAATCAACTGACATAATTGCTCTGGTATAGTTACGATATACTTGCAGAAAAAACACAGGTACCAAATAAATTTGATTCAAAAAGTAACATCTTTCTTACATATAACATTGATAAGGATCAGTCTATTGAAGCTTCACCGTCAATTATAGATTCTTTTCTCAAAATGAAAAAATCAAAAAGTGACAAGCCGAATGAAGAAAATGTGAAACCCGGTCCCTCTAGACAAATAGAAAAATCAACAAGTGACGAAAGTTCGGAAGACGAAGGTTCCCGTCTCTCTAGACAAATGGAAGAATTAAACAGTGATGACAACACAGAGGATGAAGCTTCCAGTTCAACTAGACAGCCGAGCGCAGAAAAGAAGATATTTATTTGCGATATTTGTAATAAAAAAATACCGACGCGGGGAGGGTACTTTCGCCATCGACGCAGACACTTAGAAAAAAATAAGTATGAATGCCTGGAATGTTTTAAAAAATTCAATTTTTTATATGCCCTAAAAAGACATTTAGAAACCCACAAACGTAATAAGAATTATTCTTGCAAGATATGCAACAAAAAGTTCGTTTCTGTATACAAATTGAGTAAACATTTGCAGTCGACACACAATATTAATACCTTGGAGTGTGATCAGTCTATTGAAGCTTCACCGTCACTTATAGATTTTTTCCTCAAAATAAAAAAACCAAAAAGTGACAAGCAGAATAAAGAGAATGTAAAAGTCGAAGCCGGTCCCTCTAGACATATAGAAGAATTAATAAATGAGGAAAATTTGGAGGACAAAGGTTCCCGTCTTTCTAGACAAATGGAAGAATTAAACAGTGACAACACAGAAGATAAAGCTTCCGATTCAACTAGACAGCCGAGCGCAGAAAAGAAGATATTTATTTGCGATATCTGTAATGAAGAATTTCAAACAATAAGTAATTACGATCGACATCGACGCGAACACTTAGTAAAAAATAAGTTAGTATGCTCTAAATGTTTTCAAACATTCAATGCTTCACAAGACCTAGAAGTACATTTGAAAACCTGCAAACATGAGATATATGTTTGCAAGAAATGCAAGAAACAGTTCGATTCTGTATCCAAATTGAGTAAACATTTGCAGTCGACACACAATGTTAATATCGTGGAGTGTGATAAGTGTGAGAAATCTTTTAAGAACCGTAGTCACTTTAAAGATCACCATATGATACATAGTGACAGATTAACGTTTAAGTGCAATGTTTGCGGTAAGAAATATGCCTCGAAGTGGCGATTATCGGAGCACGAATTGGTGCATAAGGACGAGAAAAATTACAGATGCGACAAATGCAACAAATATTACAAGAGACAGGGAGATTTGAATCGGCACAAACGTAAAAATCACCCCTAGAAAAATTTGTCGCAGAATGAGCAACGTGATGAAGGCTTCAGATTGGAAATTAATCTCGAACGTCAGAAAGACTCGCAAGAATCAAGACGAGGCGAGCTTGAGTTAAATAAGATTTTAGAATGCGATGAGGACGGCAAATTGCAGTCCAAACGTGACAATGCGATATTTGAATGAAAAGAGAAACGCTTGTCCGGTTCTAACGAGAATATATTTAAAGGTATTGAGGCTGTACCACAGCTAATAGCACCAACAAGTAGTCGGAACGAGCTCCAGAAGGACGAACGTGAATACATTGAACATATTGAACATTCCGAGAAAAATCCGCCTACGAATCAACAACGCGACGAGAGAGCAATTGAGTTCTTGATCGATGCAGATGAGGCTGCAAATGAACTGGCAATTGAATATGAAAAATATCAACTGCAGGTGGCACTTAACGAAAGCTTGAATTTTGAATAGAACCCCTTAAAACAAATTGAACATTCCGTGAAAAATCCACCTACGAATCAACAACGTGGTAAAAGCTATGAATTCAAAATTAACGTGCAAGCGTCGCAAGCATCAACAAGTAGAGTAGAGTCGATCGACAATATCGATGATATAATTGGATCTTAGTCCGACGTAGAAATGCAGATTTGTCTTCAAAATGAACCAATTGAAGAACGAAATTTTTTTAATGATTATAACAATGTCACATTTGAATATGACAATCAGGAAACATTTGAATCAGGTACCCGCACGATAAATGCACCTAAAATCGACAGCTCCGAGCTCGACATTGAAACGCAAGCATTGCAAGCATCAACAAGTAGAGTCGAGGTGATCGAGGTCGAAGAAGTTCAACAGCGAAGTTCATATAATTGCTACCGTTGCGCCGCGACATTTAGAAGGAAACAAGATTTGCAGAAGCACATCAAACTGCATACGGACGACAGTAAATCTATATTGTGTAACGTATGTGGCGAGCTTTTCGAGGAAACAAACATAGAGCGGCACGAATGTATTAAACACTCCAAGAAGAACGTATAAATGTCTGAGGTACAGCAAAAGGTTCGGGCTGGAAGAAGATTATTTTGAAAATCACGAAAAGTTTTACCAATTCTCGCAAGGAAGTAAACACGAGTTTCAGTACGAACTTTACACAAGAAGACATTTAGCTTGAAATTGAATTGTGCTAAAGCATTTTCCACAGCACCAATACGACAGAAAATTGAAATGTAATATTGCGACACAAATTTTGGTAAGCTCGACGAATGATACAAATACAAATGTCCAAACGAAGCAAATATTGCCATAGAGGAGCGTTTAAGTGATGGTGCAACAAAAGTTTCAATCATGAAAGAAATTTCGAAATTCACTTAATTAATTGCATAAAATCTCAGCCTTATCTAAATGTAAGTGACCAATCCGATTCGAATTGAATTTTGGATAATTTGAATTTTCTTCGATATATAAAATCAAAAATTATTCTTCTACTTATAATTTTATATAATCGCATAATGCTACTTCAGAAATATATGGATGTTTGTACATAAATATATATATATATATATTTAAATTTATATTTATATATCAATTTATATTTATTTAATATATAAATATATATATATATATATATAAACATATATATATACCATATATAAATATCTACAGTTTTCTACTTTTCAATATTTATTATATCCTCTTTATTTTAGGATGTATCTCATTAATGTCCATTCTGTATGTAAAATATGATTTGTTTAAACATAGATCTATATAGATTTTAATAACATATTTTAAATATAGGATAACGTTAATGATGTGATACAAAAAGATGATAATTTTAAATATAGAAATGTAGAAGAAAACTATATACGATACATTTTTGTCACATAGAAAGTTTTGCTTGTTTGTAAATAAAAATTGAATAATTAATAACATCTTCTCTGTTTTAAATTTAGATAATAACACTATGTTGTCATATTTTAATTATTATATTATTATGTATTATTTTGTTGTTATAATTATAATAATTATAATTATTTTGATAAATAGTAATTATTGATTTATAATATATGTAATATTAATAATAATTATAAATTTAATTACACTATCGTTTATATAATTAATTGGTATAAATAATAATTATAGATTTTATTAATTAGACAATGTGTGTACATGTACATGTGCAGACGTACACATACATAATAATTATAATTATCAATTTAGTGACAACTAATAATTGAACAATGTAATTTTATCATCATGAATTTAAAAATTAAATTTTTAGATAATAACACTTGCATAAGAGGAGTTTTTAATTTATAAGATCAATCAAAATTAATATTGGACGCTAGTGGTGAAAATAAACTTGGCAAAATTGATTTCGACGTAACTAGCAATTTTATTTAAAACTTTCACGACACGACGTTTCGACCATTTGGTTGTGGTCCATATCAAGTGACAATTCCATCAATTCAAATGAAATTAACGCAACATAAAACCGATCTTATTTAAAATTAATAGTTAAAAAAGGAACACGTCCCATCGCTATAATGTTTTGTCAACGAACAGTCGTTGACGAAACATTATAGCGATGGGACGTGTTCCTCTTTTAACTATTAATTTTGAATAAGATCGGTTTTATGTTGCGTTAATTTCATTTGAATTGATAGAATTGTCACTTGATAAGGACCACAACCAAATGGTCGAAACGTCGTGAAAGTTTTGAATAAAATTGCTAGTTACGTCGAAATCAATTTTGCCAAGTTTTTAATTTATATTTCAATTTATACTTTAAATTTGAATTTTCTGTATAAAATTGGCTACAAAATGTGTGGTTTTTGTAATATACATTATACGATCTTATTCTAATAATATGCTAATGTCGGAATATTTAATTACAACGACAAATTTTTAAATATTTTAACAGCGCAGCGATTATATATAGGAATAGATCATAACTTTATTATAAACATAAAACCGTTGAGCATGTACTAGCATTGTAGAAAGATGACATTTTAGTAATATTAAAAAAATATATATATATTCATTTATATTAGTGTTAAGTTTTTCCTTTACTTTGTTGTTACTTTGTATTATAGAATATATTACTTAAATTTAGGACATGCGATATTTCAGAGCGCCAATTTTTAAGTAACATGTTTGGAAATGTTTATACATATTTATTAAACATTTATTATATATAATTCACTATAAACTAAATTGACTTTATTATTTTATTAATTTGTACGGTGTTATCTCTTCTCTGAATGAGTTTCTCTGTTATCGCATCGTAATAAATTCAATTTTCAGCAGTAAAAGGATTGCAGATCATAGTTTTATTTTATTGAAAACACATGAATTTTAAATTAAATAATTATATAACAAACTTTCGATATAAATCTATGAAAATTGACATAGACAAAAATCACCATATGTATGTATATTTACAGTCAAAGTAAGAATTATTTATGTGCGTATATGATAAAAAAAATTATTTATGTTCAAAATATCGCTGCATGACTTACGGACATGATTCAGGTAAGAACAGTTACTGGCGCAATCGACATTGTATTTTGATGCTTTACATGTTAAAACGAGCATCTTCTTTACCAATCATCACGATCTATTTGAAAAAACAGCGATGCAAAAGTTCTTAGCAAAGCCGATAAAGGTAATTACAATGTCTAAATACGAATGCAGATTTTATTGTTTGTTCTTTGAATTATCTGAGTAGTGTATATACTATACAGTGTTAGTTTATCGCTAAGAGCTAAACTCTAAATAAATTTAGTCTACTGAATAACAATCTTTTATAGGCAACTGACTTGTATGTATATTACAATCTCGTATTATACCGACATATGTACATATGTTAATAACTACAGAAATTGAATACATATATATTTGCTAGATTTTTTTAGACAAGTATAGATATAGATAATAGGAAAGCAAGAAATTATAATATATGTATATATTTGTATAAATTTTATGTTCTAATAAGATAGTTATAAAATAATTATATATTATAATAGTAATCCTGTGATAGCTTAAATAATTGTTGTAATTATTTAGATTAAAATTTATTGCTTGTGTTATAAATGCAAATTAAAATCTTATTCGACTTACGTCTTTAATTTTGAATAATACATTTTTTAAATATATTTTTAAAACACAATCAAGCTCCTAAATTCTAACATATATAAAACATATCATTCTGCATATCTTTTCTTTGCTAATAAAGTCTTCTTTTTGTTTCTTTAAAAAGTTTCATATTCTTTTACGTATGAGAAAAAAAAATGATACATGAATTTTTTTTAATTTTATGTGTAAAGCTATAAAAAATTGAGATCATAATTTTACGAGAATAATACGTTCTATTATTAAACATCGTGTAAATTTATACAATTATGTAAAGTTCTTGTGTTAAAATGGCTGTGATTTTTTCTGCGATTGTGTGAGGAAAAAGGAAAAGTGAAAGCGCGCCGAGGTGTCATCTAAATAGCACATAACGCGATTTCTTGGACGCGACGAAATTTCACACCTCGTGCATCGGAATAATGTAGATGGACTTCTCTGATGTAACTCGCTCGTTACTGCGAGTGATTTCAAAATTGAATGTGAGACAGATTTGCCAGGCCTTTGACGACAATAGCGTCTAATAAGATGTGTCTAAGCTTTTTCAAAATCCACAATGTGTAATGTGTCGTTCTTGCTGCAATGAGTAAGGACATAAAACGCAATGAGATAAAGAGAGAGAGAGAGAGAGAGAGAGAGACGCATAAAAAATCGCGTTCTCCGATCAATATAACAAGTACCTTTAATTGATTCAATTAATTAACATTTAGAACATCCGTCGAACTTCAAAGTGCGCCGAACTGCATCATTATGCTTTTAAGGATTCGTGGTGACACAAAACATTCCTTGTAGACACGTCCGCAATCGTGATGTTCCTCCCGTCCTATCCTTATAGCTTCCTGGAGGACTGTTCCGTTCGTGAATTCCTTGAACCACTTGTGACTATTCGGGAATGTTCGAAAGAAATTTATAAAAATAACATTTTATTTTTCATTAAAGAATTTTTTCATGTAATTCTATAATTTGTCTTGCGTTAAGAATCTTAATATTTCTTCTGACATCAAATAATTAACGCGTTCATAATAATATATTAATATTTTAATATTTATGTGTACTCTCTTATTTTAATCATAATTTAATCGTTAGTGTAGCGAGTTGTGAGAGTAAATTAATCACGCATTCTGTTTCTCACTTTCGCTCGTTGCAAAGCGCTTATTACAATTTGTATCTATAATCTCTCTTTGAACCAAATCTCACAAAGCTGACTTAATTAAATTAATAAAAGTTATTAATTCTTATAAGTAAATAAATTTTTTTATTCAACACAAAATTAACTTTTATAGATATTTTTAATTTTCTTTAGATCTGAATCTGATCTATTTTTAAGATCCAAAATGTATGATGCTTAATTAATTGATATTACACTGCATTGTAGGAAAATATAGATTAGTCGTACCTTGACAAGCCATCGATGATCTTGTCAGTACTCGTGGGATTGTCGGAGTGACTCGCCTCGGAAATCATGGAACAGATGATGCGCTGAACACAGGGTGTGAAGTAATTATTGCCGAGTATGACCTCGTTTATCGTATTTCCCATTCGCGACCAATGTGAGTCGGAACCTACAAATAAACTCGTTTTCCCGCAAATTAAACGTATATATTTAAGAAAATATATTTAACATAAGTATATATATTTTTTTCAATTTATATATGTATATATTAAAGAACAACGATATCTCTCTATAAATAAAACAAGGGTTCGTACTTCGATAATTCATTCCGGGACCTGGCTTCGACAGGATGGGCACAGCTAAAGTAAGAATAGCTGTTAAAATGCCGGCGACCGACAACCCTTTCGTATTGACGTTGATCAGCGGTGCTATCTCGTTATTTTCGTCTGTATGGTGCAACGGTATCGTGAAGAAGGGTACAGACACGTCCCAATTGATCTGAGAAATTTATGAAGAAAGATTTATTTATCAAAAAGGAGCGAGAAACTCGAATGGGATAATCATTCATTATCAGAAATTGAGGGATTCATTTGTAATGAATAAAAGTGTGCAATATATGCACGTATGTTCTGAAAGAAATATTTTTATCATACAATTGCGGGATACTTACCTCGATCTCTCCACCAGTAGTGTCAAACGAGATGAGTTGTGGCTTGTTACCATTGAAAAACAAACTGTTAAGCTTCGTGGATGTTCTCGATTCGCCGTCGCCAATGACCCGGGTGCAGGATAATGCGAAGAGTAGAAGAATCGGGATAGTCGAATCACTCGCAAAGGGCCTCATATCTCCGCTCGGATAATGTCAAATCGTGCAGAATGTCAAGTGCTTTCTCTTTCGATTTGCACGCGTTGGTCTCGTTACGTTCAACTTTCCACGAAGTAATGGGATGCATTTGCGCCACCCGAGGGTTTTTCAACGACGAGTGCAGCGGCTCCCCCACTCAACTGACACTAACGTCCCATTTGCGACACGTGTGTGCTCGCCCACCCCTATCGAAGCAGGAAATATCTCGCGATTTCTAGCGAACGGAATTAACGAACCCAGGCGGCGAAATTGCGTCGCGCGACTGCAAAGAATATTAGTGTCGAGTTCGCACGTCAAATAGCGGCTTATTTGGTTTTTCTTTTTTTTTTCTTTGCAAGAACTCACACTGCATCGAGCCCGGTGGTAATTACCATTTGTCGCGGATAATGAACGCAAAATTTTCACCGGCGGAGAAAGAGCGCGCGCCCACGTGCGACGAAATCAGGATTAGAGGATAGACCCGGCCGACCGTGGCTTTCGGCGAATTTTCCGGGGCACCGTCCAGAACGAATTCCACGTCGTGCTTCGGGGAGAGCACGCGAGTTTCGCGAAATACACAGGGGAGCTCTTCGAGTCATCTCCACGACGTGGAATTTCTTTTTCTTTTTCCGCGCAAATTTCTTTCACCGGAAGGACTTCGGTCCGGTACGTGATCCCGTAGCGTAGATCCTGCTGTCGCATCCGCTTCCGCAGCCTCTTCTATTTATAGAGATTTTTGCATACAAAACGCTCCAAAGGAAATTATCTCTTTCGCGGACATTTTTTTCAGTCTTCTGTCTTTCGATTTCTTTTTTCGCAAATAGTCCTTTTCCTCGTTCTTTTTAATAATCTCTTCTAGATATAAATTTTATTCATATACCTTTCATTATACATAAAAGATTTTTAAATATTAAATATCGAATATTTATATCAACATAAAATTTTGTCACAAATTATAAATTGTTTAAAGTTGTTCCATTATATATTTTTTATTTTTTAATTATATTTTTTCAAAATTCGAATTTGCGTAATCCTTACTTATGTCAAAGTCATTGATTCCCATGTGGAAATTTTTCCTAGATTGTAACCGGGTTCTATAAAATATTCCTAAAACTTTATTTGAGGTCCAAGTTAGGATAGTCCAATCTCAGATTGTTGATTTAGAGTCCTTATTGCTTTCCGTACTTGGACTAATACAAAGATTAACTTGAGCCAATGTTGGCTTTGTAAGTTGGGTCTATATTATATAAGATAAAAGACCACAATAAAGAAAAAGAACATATTGTCTAAATTAAATTTTAATGAGCCCTTTATTAACTCGTTGAAATTGTGTTAAGTGATGATCCTTCCTCGAATAAATCAACATGATTTTAAATTATACCAATATATTTTATACACTTATAACATTTTTTGTTTGAAATCTATAGTTGGACATGCTTGAATTAAAATGTCTTGAGAAAAATATTGATGACCTAATCAGACTCGAGACAGGCTCTAAGCATACAAATCAAAATATTGAAAAAAAAGAAATAAAACTAGATATAAAACTAAATAGACTTGAGTTTGGCAAGTCTTATTTTGGATGCTTATATACGGGACCAGTATTGAATGCGGACTCGGGTCACGGTTATTAAAATTTAATTTAATATTCTGATATATTCCACGAGCTTGATGTCCTCAAATGAAGTGATTATACGTATACCAACTCTCGAAAATTTGCAAGGTACATGAATAATTAGCAGAGTTCCTGCCGTAACTATCCCCGAAGTTGCGTGTGTTTCGTAATGCAACGGGAAGTCGTAACGCAGAAAGAACGATGGGTGCCGAGGTGCCGGAGATGTCGCGAAATCAGTGAGAAGTCAGTGAACGTCTTAAAAGGACAATTGTTAGACGGCGCGGCCATTATTTCAGCTTCGGGATTTCGAGCTCGACGTGATGACGAAGCGGCTGCAGCCGCCACAGATGAGGAGACGGCCTTCTTCGTCTTCGAATGACGACGATGAGTGTCACGCATCGCGTGTCAACGTCCCATGAAGAGCCAACAATGAAAGCGAAACCGCGGTTCCAATTATGTCCACGACTTGTCGTGTTCAGACGACCAAAGCAACTATATATGCCAGAAAGCAGTCTCTGCGCACCCAGTCCGTGACACTGAATCGCCATATCTCGTTTTTTCTAAGATTGACCTCAGAATCTTCAGAGTTTGCTTCGGAGAGCCTCGCCTTTGCCGCTACCAAAGGTATTCTTATTTTAGTCCTTATATATTTGTGCGACATATCCAGTGAATGTCTTTGATCAAATAATTATCTTGATGATGATAACGTGAAGTGTTTCATGCTCCCCATATATATGCATGTGAAATTTTATTTAGAATGAGAAATATTATATAGTATATATATATTCTCGTCGTGTAAAATGTTTTATTGGAATTTTTTGCAACGTGCTAATATTTGCATTTATTGATTATGATAAATTATTAGATTATTGTCATCTATTTTATCTTTTTCAGATGACGTTTCGAATTTCGCGAACTTTAATCGTGACAGTAAGCTGTTTCGCTGTCCTGGTCGGTTGCAATCCAAAGTTTGACGATGGAGGGTAAGTCATTTCAACAGTCTTGAATAATATATAAATAATTCAATATTTATCCAATATATTTTCTCTCGCTCTCTAACAATTTTCTAAAAAAATGTTTTAAAGCTATTTCTAAAAAATATTTGAAAATACAGATGTTTTATTTTTAAAAATGACTGAAAGATTAATACATCTTTTTTAGATGCTTATATTTATAAATATTTAATATATTTATATCACAATTCATACAATACGATGTCTTCGTTAACAGGTTTGTGCCCAGTTCCATAAGTTATGTGGAAAAACATGCGAAGGCGCAAGATCAAATAGCCATGCCGTCATCTCAGGTTAAACAGGAGAATCCACCGAAACGTGAATCTGAGATGAACGACGTGACAGATCGTGGCCAGGAAGCGCGATTTGGCTTCACCAATATCGGAAGTACAGGAAGCGTGAGTACATTGCATTTTAATTTTCCTCCCTTATTTTTCTTCTGTAGATAAGTTTCAGAATATTTTTTCTTTTCTTTTCACCCTCGATTTTTGTAAAAAAATTCCAAAAACTGCTAATTATTTTTAATGATCGACATTAATTAGAAATTCAAAATTTCCGAAAATTTGTTATTGTTTAAATTAAATATAAATTTATTTTCAAACTCGATTAAACTCGAATTAGGGCTACGGCGTGTCACCTTATGCACCGGCGAAAATAGATCTGGGCGGACTTCTCTTGGGAGCCATTATTGGTGTGGGATCAATCCTTATCATCCCAAAATTGCTTTATATTCTATCAGGCACTTATGGCGCATATGCGAGAAGTAAGTATATCATTTGTTCATATCGACTTAATCCTCTATATCCATTTTATTTCTTCTATAGATTTTTTATTTCATAAATTCTAACTTTCATCAGATCTTTGATAAACCTCGTTTGACTTCTCATTCTTTATTAAGAATATGAAGAAAAGTGTCGAGCTATAAGCTATTGAAAATAAAAAGAGCATTGTTTTTATAATATTGATTTCAATTTTGACAGAATTTCAAAACTTACAAAAAGAGATTCGCAAGTTTGAAATTCAAAATTATTCAAAAATTATGAAACACTAATTATAGAAAATTTCTTGAGATAAAGAATAACATTTTTGTGCGCTACCTAAATTTACTTCATAGGAATAAAATTAACTCTTGAAAAAGAGACTTTTTATTTTGATTATTCGCAAAACGAAGATTGCATGACGAGATATAAAACATCGTTCGCATAAATAATTCTTTGAATTTTCCAGTCGAGGTCTCTTACCTAAGAATAAAGTTTAAAAAAAATGCAATCTCCTTCTTCAGCACATTTTCTACGGAAAGCTCGACTCCGAATTTCACGGAGGGTGCTTTCCAGCCTCTCGTAGACTATATAAATCCTCCATTCCACCCCCGGACAACCCCGATTATATTTAAACCGACGCAGGTGAGGACGCCGGTTTCGCCCAGACCCTGACGAGGATCGACGACGTCCTGGCGCGTCACGGCATCGACACGACCTCATGCATGCAACGCGCAGTGTGCACGTACTCGCAGCAGGCCGCCGCCGCGGTCGGCGACGAGAGCGACGCGAACGAGACCGAGCGGGACGAGAAGGTGACGTCATTCGACAGAATGGTGAACGCCATCACCAGCAACCAGGTGTTCCGCACCGCCATGCAGGGCACGGCGATCGAGGAGGCGGTGGAGGCCGGCAGAGCCAACAGGAGTTGTTCGAGATCGTACCCGCACTGCGGCTTCTCGATGGAGACGATGCTGTCGCTCCTGGCCAACGTCATCGCCGCGGCGAACGCGCGCGCCACGACACCCACCGCCGCTTCGTCGCTCTAATTTATTTATGCAATTTTCGCGTCCTTCCTTCGAAAGTTGGAGGAAACCCTAACTGCACAACATAGCCGAAAGACATTCAGAAAATATCCGGAGGACATCCGAACATTCTCTCCCAAGTAGCAACCCTAATAGCACACCATATCCGAAAGACGTCAGAGGATATCCAGAGGATATCCAGAGGACATTCCAACAGCCTCAGGATGTTCGCTAAACATCTTCGGAATATGTGTGCTGTTAGGGAAAGTGACGTTTAAACGTCAAACTGACGTTTAAACGTCACCCTGACGTCATTAAACGTCAAAATGACATATGCTTGCTACTTGAGTTGGATGTCTTCTGGATGTCCTTTGAACGTGCTTTGGATGTGCATGCTATTAGGGAATTAATTAACGCAGTTGACAGGTAAAAATATATATATATATAATTAAATTGAGAAAGAAGAACCGCGATTAAAAGCTGACGGTTCACTATATCGTCGTGCGTTCAGTAGACTTTTCGCGATGAAGAGGAAAAAAGAGAGGCGACAGGAACCCGTTGACCATCACGAGGAGCGGATGGGTCTCGGTTGCTGCTCTTTCGCGATATTCTAATTCGACTCGTACAACGATAGTCTCATCTTTATTTCGTAGAGAATTACATGTGTGTATGCGTGTGTGTATGTATGTGTATAAACTAATAATAAAGGTGAAACCCTCTCTCGTCAAACCCCCTGCTTTTCGCCCACGCACTTTTGTGCGCTCTTAGCGTGACACTTTTCTCTTTCAACTATGTAGAAAAAAATTTATATTATATATATAGATATATATACATATAATTTCCATTAACTTTCACATTGAAGAAAATAGAATCGATTAGAGCCCGCGACACGGTCGCGGCGCGTCGCTTTCAACACATCAGTATTCAACAATCAGTACAGGCACTGCCTATGACGATGTCGTTTTTTTTTTACCCTATAGAAATATATATATGCGACGCTCTCTCCTTTGACAACAGCACGCACGCATCCGCACACAGAGGGTGAATCAAAAATTAAAGACGCGAGGTGTCTTTCCTATTTTTTCTTTCACTCTTCCGACTCGCCACAATTTTTAAAAATTGACTCCGTCAATTGAAAATTAAATCTTCTCGAAAGAGAAGAGAAATTGTAATTTAAAAAATGCAATTATTATAAGCGAAAATTGGAATCAACGCAAAGCGAGGAAGTAAACTGTTAAAAAAATAACGGAGTCTGTATATTGCGAAAAATTCACACTTTATATAGAGAAAAATATAATTCCCACATGTATTATAAACCATATACCAGGTTTTCTTCTCTATATCAGCTGTCAAATTTAAAATGCGAAAATATAAAATAGAAAAGATATATATGCATATATATCTTTATTTTTCATTCACCCTCGCGTATTCTCGTAATAGGACGTTTATATGTGCGAGGTATAGATTCCCAAGAGAAAAAGGACTTATTTTCTCTGAAACTTATATTTCTACGCTCGCATTATCTCTTCATTACCACATATCGGATAAGCATTAAATTATTCAGGTCTAATAAAAAATTAAAGTAAGGAATGTATACTTATTGAATATGACTTTTTTTTGCAAAGTGTTCTGTCATTAAATTGACTTCGAAAAACGATACAATACGTAATGAGTTATAAATCACAGAGCATTATAATATTTTGCAGTGATAATTAGTGAACGTTTATAGAAATAGCTAAAAATAGCAGAGAGTATTTGTAAATAAAAAGCCTCGCACTCGCACGGGAAATCTTTTATCACGTATTTCAGATTTTTTACGTATCCTAGAAATGTTGGTCCTTGCAAACAGGTCATCACGCGCGACTAAATTAATAAAAGTATATAGTGAAACACTTGTTAAATTTTCAGTGCATTTAACAAGATTTTTCGGAATGTCGAAACGCGTCGGAAAGATTTGATTAAATAATAGATATAACGCTTTTATCAAATTCAACATCACAAGCAATTCAACACTCTAGCAATAGTTATAATAATTTTCTTTCTATTTATCTCTGTGTATTATTTCGAAAATTTGATTTTTTTATATATTCAATCGAAATTTGTTTACTCTATCAAAATCTAAAAAAAAATCAACTATCACTGATATGAATTTTTTTCAGTTTTTTTATAGTTTGTTAAAACGAGCAAGAATCTGCTTTTCACGCCGAATTAAAAAATATTCTTTCGTTTATGAACAACTTATTGATTTAATAGTGTCGTTGCTTCATGCGTCGCATCTTATTGCTAAATACCGTATACTAGGGATAAATCTAATTATCCCTCTCCTTCGAAAATCTCTTCTACTTTGAAAATCCTCTCGTATATCTATAATATATACCCTCGTTGATTTTAGAAGAATAATCTCTGTGATATACATATAATATATATGTGCACCATGTAAATATTCGATCAATCGAACAACTTTTTTAGACAAAATTAATCAAGTGCCTTTATACGATAAAAAATTAAAATATAAATTGCCCTTTCCTCTAAAAAAAACGAGTATTAAAGTGTTTTGTGCTCCATACAAAAATAATTTGCAATTTAGTTTAAAAATAATTTCATATAATAATTTAAATTTTAGTTTATCTAAAATTTAAAATAATAATTTTAATATAAAGTTTAAAACTATAAAATAACATAAATTTCCGAAATAAAATTGGCACCTGATTTCTTTTATATAATAAAAGTCGTCAAATCGTCTCGATGACATCTATATATTTATAATATCTTAATAATTCCCTGAAGTCTCTTTGGTTACTTACTATCACGCGTTTTTCTGATAATATTTCTGGTCTCCTCGAACTTACTGTACCCTAAATCCGCTATTTCTCCATCACTTCATATGTTGACGTTTTGGCAAAAGTAAAATAACTCCTATTGCCACGCACACATGCCACAGACTATGAACAAGATAATAATTCTTGCGCGTTTGCAGAAAGGCGTAACACACAAGGCCCAGAGAGACGAGAAGAAACCCGGCCGGGAAGTAGATAGTCCTAAATAAAAAAGAATCACATCATCAATATTTTATCTTTATGTCTGTAAAGTAATAAGGATATCAAAAGCAGTTAAAAAATTTTATTATATATAGAATTTATACATAGAATTTTGACAGCCAAATATATAGGAAAACTAAGGTTGGGTAAGTTAAATATTTTTTTAAACTAAGTTAAGTTAAAATTAACGGTTTATAAAATTATAAATTTTTAAAAATATTATTTATATTAAATTAAAATGATAAATAATTTTACGACCAATACTGGCTAATAAATATTTAAGGGGGTCATCCCGTGTGACGGCTTCAAAAAATCGATTTTTTTTGCATAAATCTAATCTAGAGCATGCATAGAATATACTGGTAAAGTAATTTTCCGAAATTCGAAGTCATTGAAAAGTTACAGCAGTGAGAAAGTAAGGTGTTTTACCCTTAGTCCCGACGGTTCTTTTCGGCACCTTTAATCCCGACTCATGGGTCGTTTGCGTCTTTGCGTTATTTGGATCAGTAAAAACGCTTTAAAAAATCTGAAGAAATTCATGGAGCTTCTTGCAACCTTCAACTTGAAGTCCCAATCATAATATTTCGATAAAAATTATTTTTTTATATAGTTTGTTATTAAAAAATGGAGGCAGCGACGGATTAACACTAGAGGCAAACATAGGCATTTGCTTAGAGCGGCAAATTTTCGAAGACAAAAAATAAAAAAAGAAATAAAAATAAAAAAGTAAAAAAAAGTAAAAAAAAATAAAGAAAATAAAAAAAAGGAGTGTAAAATCCTATCTGCAAACCTCCTCGTGGTGCACTCTGGGGTCGTGAAAATATTTAAAAATATATTACGTTTTCACCAGCTAATGCAGGGGTAACAGAAAATTGTTGATTTTTTGTACTAAATCTTTTTTTTTTTTTTGCTTGTAGGGGCTGCAAAATGTACGCTGCCTAGGGGCGGCAAAATGTTTAATCTGTCGCTGAATGGAAGTACCTAAGGAAAAATCACTTGTTCGTTTGGGTCGCAAACGACCCATGAGTCGGAATTAAGGGTTAAGTACGCAGCTGAGCGCTCGGCGGGAAACAAGAGCTATTGTATACCTTCGGATTCTTACTTGAAGCCGATTCTATTCACACGCACGTATACGCACACATATTTAGAAGAGCGCTGCTGTCCTGAAACTCAAATTGAATGTAACGGTTGCTTAGTTTTGGCTTCGCAGTCAGCGGCGTAACAGCTCTTGAGTCGTCGTAAGCAGTAATATTGTACCGTGCAAGTGCTTCAAGTTTGCGATGAATGACAAGAAAGGAACAAGAGAAACTCACGCTCATGCTGAGCGAAGAAAGAAGAGAAAATTTCAAAGGAAACCGTTATTGGTTGGAAAATGATCTGGATTATACGTCGACATCAGCGAAGAAATTGCTTGGAAGCATAAACCTGGAAGTGCCTGTTGCTTCGAACTTTGCGTACTGTATCTTAGAATTTGCATCTGTGTTTTCGGCAATTTCAACAAATGTTATATGCAAAGAGTGTAAAAGTGACGTGATCTTTGGTCGGACGATTTTACGAGGCTTGGGTTTTAAAATTCTTATGTTGTGTAAGTGCAGGGCATATAAAACGATAAACTCGGGCCCAATGATTCAAAATGCTTTTGAAATTAATCGGCGCTTCGTTTTTGTGATGCGGTTGTTAGGTATTGGCCACGAAGGAGCGAATCTTTTCTGCAATTTATTGGACATTTTTCAAGGTATAGGAAACTCGACATATACCGCGCTTTTGGAAAATATTCACACAGCCGCATCTGCAGTGTATGAGTCCGTTCTATCCTTTACTGCCACACAAGAAAAAAATATGAATGAAGAAGCTGGGAAGCCGCAAATTGAATTAACAGTTTCCGGAGATGGAACCTGGAAAAAACGCGGCTTTTCATCTCTATTTGGAGTATCAACGTTAATTGGAAAGTATTCTGGGAAAGTGATAGATGCGATGGTTATGAGTAGTTTTTGTGATGCTTGTAATCTGTGGAAAAAGTTCAAAAATACTGAACCAGAGAAAAAAAAATACGAGGCATGGTATGCAGATCATGAATCTGAGTGTTCGATAAATCACACAGAAAGTTCCGGTAAAGTGGAAATTGATGCCATTGTTGCAATGTTTGTACGCTCGATCAAAAAACACGGCGTGAAATATTTGACGTATGTCGGCGACGGTGACAGCAAGACATTCAATGGCATTTTAAAAGCTGAGCCTTATGGTAATGACTCTCCTGTTATTAAAAAAGAGTGTGTTGAGCATGTTGAGGAACGGATGGGAACACGACTCCGAAATGCTAAAAAGAATAATAAAGGTATTGGTGGCAAAGGTCAGGGCAAGCTATAATGGACAATCTAATTATTGAAATGACAAAATTTTATGGCTTAGCCATTCGTCGCCATCCCGATTCATTAGAAGAAATAAAGAAAGAAGTTTGGGCCACATTCTACCACAAATGGTCTACCGATGAAAATCCTCAGCACCAGAACTGTCCAGCAGGCGAAGGTAGCTGGTGTAAATGGCGGCAGGCTGAAGCTAAGAGCACGCTCGACCAATTCCACCACGAGAAGGCCCCATTATCCAAGGAAGTACAAGCAGTAGTTAAATCTATCTATGAAGATTTATCCAAGGACAATCTTTTGACCCGATGTTTAAGAGCAGAGACGCAGAATAATAATGAGTCGTTAAATTCACTCATTTGGACGTTCGCTCCGAAACATCTACATTCAGGCGCTCAGATAGTTCAGATTGCAACTTTTTGGCCATCGTCATCTTTAATGAAGGCTTCCCAGGCATTATTAAGATAATGCATACGATGGGCTGTTCAATTGGACGATCAGCGCACGCTTATGTAAAACGCCGCGACAAAGCTCGGCGAACGATCAGCCGTTCCAAGCAGCGCATGAGAGGCTAGAATTTCAGCCAGGGAGGAGCAATCGGCCTTACGAAATTGGCAAGAAGAAGAGAAAGAGATACTCTATGCACCAGGAATAGCAGATTAGTGGTAAGCAAAACTTTCATGGTGTAATTCACACATGAACTTTCAAACGCGTTTTTCTCAAAACTGGATTTTTTTAACTGGTGTCCATGATTTTTCGAAAACGGTTCAATGGATTTAATTAAAATTTTAATGGTAGATTCAGCACATGTGTGGCTATCGTGGGAATTAGAATTTTTAAAAAATATTGAACCGTTTTCTGTCCGCATAAAAAATAGTCGCAAAAAATCATGCTATTTTGAGTTATAATCTTTAAAAGCATGCAAAAAATTGAATTTTTAATATTTTCAAAAAATTCTAGTTCCCGCGATAGCCATTCACCTATAGATTAAAATGCAATTTGATTTTTTGATTTCAGATAAACCAGTCTGCCGGAATCGTGGACACCGTTTGTCTGATTTTTTTTACATGGGTGCCATTCCAGTGATGCAACTCGCCATCGACGCCATATTTTTAAATAAAAAAATTACACATATAGTTTAAGATGTAATAAATATATAGTAAAAATTTGGAAGCTCTGTATTTTTTCATTTCGCCGCAAAAAAATGCAAATAAATCTTAAAAAAACGGTCGTCACACGGGATGACCCCCTTAATAAACACCACACAATGTTTCGACCATGGATTTTGGTCCTTCTCAAGTGTACTTAAAATTAAAAACCGTGAATATATTATGCAAATGAAACTTCTTGTCGAACCGTGATAAAATAATGACAATATATTAAAGGTTGTGTAATCCTCGGCTATTATTTTATCACGGTTCGACAAGAAGTTTTATTTGCATAATATATTCACGGTTTTTAATTTTAAGTACACTTGAGAAGGACCAAAATCCATGGTCGAAACATTGTGTGGTGTTTATTAAATATTTATTAGCCAGTATTGATCGTAAAAATTATTTATTTTTTAATTATTGACTGGCAACATCAAGAATTCGAGTATTTAAATAAAAATGTTTTTTTAAACTTTTTAATTTAATATTTTAATTGATAATTTTTTAATTTTTTGTTAATAAAAATAATAAGAATTTTATTTTTTATGTAGAAATGTGTGTATTTTTTTCTCTGTAATAGAATTGTGAAAAATAATAGTATCTTTATTTATTTCATAATTCTTGTAAGAATGACATATATAGAATGATTATCTTTTATTAAAATGCAATCGTTATTAAAAATTTAATTGTTCAATGTTTCAGATTTTATAGAAAACCTAATGGCATGTTTATATAGAAAACCTAATGGTATTCAGAGATGGAACAAATTTTTAACTTAAGAAAAAGATTAATAAGTTTAAGTTTAAAAATAACTAGTTTAAGTTAAAAATCAACTCACTTCAAATTCACTAAGCTAAAGTTAAAAGTTTAAATTAAATTTTTTATTTTTTATTTAACTTTTTATTTAACTAATTAACTACCTAACTTTCAGGAAAACATGAAACATATACTGATTGAATCTACCTTATGGCAACGTATTTGATGATTTCATATTTACTTTCTGTGTATCAATTTGTGAAATTTCTTTTAAAGACAGATTGATTTTTCCTTTTTCTTCCTTTCTTCACCTTTCTCTTCCTTACCTGTACGGACGCGAGGGATATCTGATAGTTCGCTTTCTCCTGCATCTGAATCCCCAGGACAGGCCGATCAAGGCGGAACCAGTGACAGCTGGCAGCAGAAACACCCAGAGCGCCGTGCGATCCATCTCGGCACCCATAGCGAGGACAATCGCTCCAGCCACCTGGCAGAAGGCAGTCACCCGTGGCCCGAACGACGCCATCGCCACCAGAGTCACCCAGATGGCGAGCAACGCGTTGAAGAAGTCGCAGAACTGCAGCACGCTCAGCCGCATGATGCACACTCCGTAAACGTCCTCACCGGCCTCGCAGGCGTGGTAGAACGTCGAGAAGAACATGACGGCGGCGTAGGCGACTGCCTCGGTGAAGTACTCGCGGCGTATCGCCACGTAGATCGAGCCGAGGAAGGCGAGGTTGCTGAAGGTCAGCGCGAGCAGCTGCAGGAGGATGCCACCGGTGCTGAGGACGTAGGTCGCGTCCGCGCAGTCGAAACCTCGGTAGCCACCAGTGCAATAACACGCTGAGAAGACGAAGCCGCCGCTCATGTAGTGCATACACTTGCCCCGGACTCCGCAGCGACCTTCGATACAGGGCGATGACGACACAATGCTCTCCACCTGGGCGACGGGGCAGCGCGACAAGCAGTCGCATCTATCACATGCTATGTCACCTTGCAGACAATTACGGGCACAAGAGCAAGGACTGCTGGTCCCGCGGATGCTGCTGTTGCTCGTCGTCGTTAGCGTCGTCGTCATCGTTGTCGCTTCCTCTTCCTCGGGACAATAGACGCGCAAACTGACGTACCAGGTTCCCGTCTCGGGAAAGGGCACGTGAACATAAGCAGGTTCAGTCGCATTCACGTATACATCTGCGGTAGTGACGGCGTGGGCGCGAATGCAAGCGCCACCCGAAGTGATGTTGGAGTAATAACCTGGGGAGAATTAATTAACCTTTAAGACTCGTTTGAATCCTTCTCAAACAGCACTAAATTGGAGCATAAGATTTGTTTTGGATATATCATATCATAAGGATTCTTAAAGCTGTCTTAAAGATTTCTTAATAATATCTTAAGATGTCTTTGGATATCTTTAAGATGTTTTTTGGATATCATATCAAGATTTTTTAAAGCTGTCTTAAAGATTTCTTAATGGTATCTTTAAGATGTTTTTTGGATATCATATCTAAATTTCTTATAAAGCTGTCTTAAAGACTTTCTTTAAGATATCCCTATCTAATGATATCTCTAATAGCACACATATCCGAAAGACATTCAGAAGACATCTTAAGGACATATAGAAGATGTTTGAATGTCCTCTAAATATCCTTTAAATGTCTTTCGGATATGTTGTGCTGTTAGGGATCTTATGCGCCTTATCAATTTTGGACTTGGTGCTGTCTGGGTTAAAAGGACTAAATCGATGAGAAGCAAAGAACGCATGAATTAACCTAAGGAAACGCAGGCCACGAGGACGATGCTCTTCTTGCACTTCTCCTCCACGTCGACCAGCTTGAAGCCCAGAGTCACCGTGCCACCGACATCGTACACCCGACCGATCTCGAAGCTAAGGACGGAAAGAGCATCGGCGGTCACGTTGAACGGCTGGGGTTTCGTCTCGTTGCCGCACAGGTGTTCGTAATCGAAGAGGAAGAACTCCGGGAAGGACTTCCTCATCAGCACCACCGACGTCACCTGATCGTCAGCGTTGCTTCGACGTTCCAGCGGCAATCGCAGCGTCACGTTTGACGCGTTTCCGGTCACCAGACGAAGGGTCACGTAGTGGAAATCCCCGACGTAGGGCTTGAAGGGCAGCGCGATCGTTGTGGAATTGAGCAGACCATCGGCGAGATTATCCCCCGCCGTAACGTGAACGGCGATCTCGCAAAACTCGCCGCAGGATGATTTCAAGGTCAAATTCACTTCGGTCAGACCGACGTCTGAGACGAAATACCGCACTATCGCCGTATCGGAGGTTTCGTCCAACTGCACTTCGTGCTCATCCTTGGGATCCACCAGCGACGTCGTTGCTGGTGTCTCCACGAACATCTCGGTGTCCAAGACAGTTTCGCAGGACGCGCTAAGACCTACGAATGACAGTTCTCTATTGATCCTGAAGAACACAATCTTAACTCTATTTCTATAAATAGCCACTTTTATTTTATATAGACAAATAGCTCCGAACTCTTTAAAGTTGAGTTTTCCAATTTCTTGGGAAGCTTTATTCGACAGGTAGCATGTTATCGTCTCTTTTTTTAGAACTTATCTGAAAAAAGACAAAAATATGCTACCTGTCGGGTAAAACTTACCAAGTTAGAACAACCTGTTCTTAGTGTTGCGAAATGGAAAAACGCAAGCAAATAATATATGATATAATCTCGAGTCTCGAGCTCTATTCGTTGAAGAAATCGTAGTAAGCTGCGTGACTTCTGTCTGACCTTGCTGCCTGATCTTTCCCGTGTCGGGATCGGTCCAAGATCGGAAGGCGATCGCATACCAATCACCCGGGGGCGGAGCCTCGATCTTAATCGCATATTGATCGCCGTTGCTCTGCATCTTCAGGCCGTAATTTCGCCGTCGTTTCTTCATCTCCAACAACTTCGCGGCCACTTTCGAATCATCGGGACGGACGAACGGCAGACTGCCGGACTTTAGGTACAACGAGACATTGCGCGGCGGACATTTACCTATTCCGCCAGTCTTCTCTTCTTTCGTCGTGAATCTGGAAAATGCGACAAGGCATTATCTTCGTGAAGATGAACTCGGACGAATGCGAAGGTGAGAACAAGTAGAATAAAATAATATTTTAATCTTCAAAAAGAAATTTTGCTAATCAATTTTCACCAAATATTATAATTATTAAGATATTTTCAATAAAAAAAGCATACTTAATTAGTATGTAAGGAATAAAAATATAAATTTCAATTTATTTATCTATTTTTTTAGACAATTTTTTTGATCCCTTAATTATTTTGAGAAGTGTAAATATAAAAAATATATATGTATATAATAAAATATATATAAAATATTGTATAATAATAAGTATAATTTGTAACAGCTCTTTAGAAAATTTAAATCTACAAATAAAAAGGCAATAAGAGCTAATTAAGTTCTATACTAGAATTATATTTGTGAAAAGATTTATAACATAAATTATTAAATATTATACAGAAGTAAATTCGTACGTTTCGGTTGTCTTTTTCAACCTTCTTCAGCGTATCAATTAAAAATTAAAAGATGAGTAGAAATTAACAATAAATTATTTATCACTGTCATTATAATAAAAATATACGGAGTCAAGTTATATGCTAACACCCGAGATCATCAGTAAATTTATAATAATAAGTATATAAAAATTCCTGTAAAATCCCAAATAATTCAAGTCAAATGTTCTATACGTACTTGAAAGCGACCGCGACGGAGAGTTCGGGCACATTGAAGTGGATAATCGAGATGTGACGGTAGGCATAATAATCCACCAGGACATTGTTCGGCTGTTGGGCGACCTTCTCCAATTTGCCACACAATCCTTGCTGAACCGCAAGTGTCCATACTAGTAGCACGGCTAAAACGCTGTCAAGCATATTCCGATGTCTTGCTACATAAGGATGATGTCCGTCCGGTTCGAAGAAATTTGGCGAGAAAGGAGAAGCTGAGTCTCGTGACGGAACAAAATGCACACTCTACAAAAATTAAAATAATTGAATGTTAATACTGAACATCCTTCTTTGTAACTTTAAAAAGATTGTTTCTTTTTCATCGATTTTTTTCAAGTTTTTATTTAATCTCTTTTATATTACTTTTATATTACTTTCTGTTATCTTTATTATTATTAACTTTTAAGTCCAAAGTTGCGTAACACTTTAATAAGTGATAACATGAGATGATGATTCTATCCGAGTTTAAACTTTCTGCGGATCGAATTTGCTTCGTGTACAGAATGAAAAATAAGATTAGTTATCAGTTTTCACCCACAAGTTCATAATTGATACTTTATAATTATAATGATTCCTTGCATAAACTATCGAGAAGCAACGAAAGATCAGAGAAAGCTTCTCTAACAGATAGTATCATGAATTAATTATTCAAATTAATGAATCTCTCTCTTACAATTTTTATTTCCTCGTTATTTCTCAGTTTTTTCATAATTATTTCGCTTTGTAAATTTATCGAGAAGCGAAAGTCTCGACGCGAACTGCCAATCTATTTCGACATTCTAGGACTTGAGTAGCCGATGTCGGTGTGACATTTCTATTTCCGTCACTTTTTATATATCGAGCATTCAATCAATAACTACAGCTAGAAAATATTTTCTTACATTTCTGCAGAAAAGAGAGAGAGAGAGAGAGAGAGAGAGAGCCGAGAGTGTCTCTTCGTGAAAATACACGTTCAAGGAAATACTTTCGGTATTCCCGAGCAAGATGAGAAGGATCCCGTCCAATATTCACGAGATTCAACATCATTCAGCAACTCTGACGGGGACCTCACTGAGTTATATCTTCATCCTCGGACAGTCTTCGCTAAAGTGGACTGACTTCTGTCGCGATAAACTTTTATAGAACTCATTTAAGAGATTGAAGAGAGAGAGAAAGAGAGAGAAGCAAATTCGTGCGAGATGTGCACAGTCAAGTGGGTCAGATTCCATTGCTAATTTACACTTCCTGTGAGCAAGAAGCAATAAGCTACCCGCGCTCTTATTCGTCGAAGAAGCGCGAATGACGTTAAATGTCGCGATTTCCTTCAGCCTCGTTGTACCTGGAAGGTTGTTTCGCACTCGCGAGACAAAATCTTTGTACAATGAATATCTTTCATCCTCTTTTTATAACGCAGAAAGAGAACAAATTTGACGATTCGCGCGACTTAATTATCATGGAGTTATTTAGCGGAAAATTAAAATCGCAGAACTGATAAAGAAGTGTAAATTGAATTTGAAAATTTTCCGTGGAGAAGAGAGAGATCCCTGATAATTTCCGCGGATAAAAAAGCTAGGGGAAGGACAAAGGCTCTTTGTTGTTCTCTACCTTTACGTAATTGGCGAGTTGTTCATTATGAGAAGTATAAAAATCGATTCGCGCTGCGCGAGAAATAAAAGATTATTCCACTCTTCGAGATGGAAATTGAAAAAAAAATTATCGCTTCAATGTAAAGAATCAACGAGTTTTTTGATAAAAATCTTTTATCACGAGTCGCTACATTGTATTAAAAAAAAAGAAAAATAATTAAGAATTTAGTATATAAGAATTATATATATAAAAAACTAAGAAGTCACCAGTCGATAATTAAAAATGGTAATAATTTCGTCAACCATATCTGGCTATAAATAATATTTATTAAACTTTACGACGTTTCGGCCATGGGTTTCGGCCCTTATCAAGTGCTACTTAATACCGCATTATTATAACAACACTACTTTTTTGATCTTAGGTCATGACGTGATGTAATGTCCTTAGACACATTATCATGACATTACATCACGTCATGACCTAAGATCAAAAAAGTAGTTTTGTTATAATAATGCGGTATTAAGTAGCACTTGATAAGGGCCGAAACTCATGGCCGAAACGTCGTAAAGTTTAATAAATATTATTTATAGCCAGATATGATTGACAAAATTATTACCATTAGTATATAAGACTTTTAATAAAAAACAAATAATAAAATAAAATTAATTAAAATTTATAAGTTTGTGTTATTCAGTAAAAAGATTTATTGGAAGTTATTGGAAATAATCGACCAAACTAACGAGTAATAATTGTTTAGTAACACGACGTTTCGACTATATATAGTTGTGGTCCTTTTCAAGTGAGACTAAAATAATTTTTATTACATATTTTATATATTATTATCAACGAAACACTAATATAAAATTCGCAATTGGAAACGAACGTAATACTTACAAGTAAATTTAGTAATAATTAACACATAATACAGCAATAATCAATATCAATTTTTAGTGAGAAATATACAAGTCAAGATTAAAATTAAATTAAAATTATGAGAAAGCCACAACATATCCCAACAAAGAATCGTCAAATTCTAATGTATTTTAAATGAGATTTTTTACACAATCTTTATTATTTTATTATATATATCGTTTAGACTCTCTGTATTCTTCTGTGAGTTTATGTTGTTGTTTAGTTTTTTAATATAAAACATTTCGGCTATCTCTCTCTTTCTTCAATTTAATTTTAATTTTGACTTTTATATGTCTTACTAAAAATTGATATTGATTATTGCTGTACAATGAATTAATTATTACTAAATTTACTTGTAAGTATTACGTTTGTTTCCAACTGCGAATTTTATATTAGTGTTTCATTGCATGATACTAATAATATATGTAATAAAAAAATTTTTTTAGTTTTACTTGAAAAGGACCACAATCATATGGCCGAAACGTCGTGAAATTTAATAAACGATTATTACTTACTAGTTTGGTCGATTTCCAAAACTCCTAAAAAAATAAAATTTATAAGCTCGTATATTATACAATAAAAAATTTATTGGAAGATCTTGACGACCAAATAAAATAAACCAATTAGAGATATTACATTAAATGTTAAGAATTGATATCACAAATAAAACTATTATATGCGTTTTGACGCGATCACAGATAACAATTATGTTATACGTATGGAATTAGTGTGACATTTTGATGAGACATTTTGACACTAACTTGTGTCTCTTCGGTCGCTTTTTTCTTCGAATTTAAATATAGTGTTCTTTCACTCTAAATTCCTTCTTCCTTCAAAGTATATTACATGTAGTCGTCTGTGTTTGAACTTTTTAATAAGAATCCTTAGTTAAGATGTTGGTAATGAAGAGGACGGATTAATTTTGATGATCATCAAAATTAATCAGTCCTCTTTATCACCTACTACTAATTCCATATGTATAATATAATATAATTGTTATCTGCGATCGCGTCAATACGCATATAATATAGTTTTACTTGTGATATCAATTCTTAACATTTAATGTAACATCTCTGTAACTCAATTGGTTTATTTCACTTGCTCGTCAAGGCCTTCCAATAATAAATCTTTTTAGAAAACAAATATCTCAATATTACAATAAGCTAAAACTAAAGAACCAGATGATAGTATATATCAGGTTCAAGATAAATTAATTTCTTAATTGAAACTGAGTTGTGCACTTTTCTTTCCTTGGTCCCTTACGACGTAAAATTAATGTTTAAAAATCTCAATTTGCTTATTTTAGTAAACCCCTCTGACCCACTCTAAGAGAAAGAATAAGCGAGAAAATATCAAGGAGAAAGATAAATAATTAAATAAATAAATCCCAATTCGTGATGTTTATTTTAGTAAAGCCCCTAACTTTCCCTATATATATATACACATATATAAAGAAGTACAAGCAAAAAAAAATATCGGAGAGAAGAAAAAAGAGTCGGCTCGAATTCTAGTATAACAAAGACGCGCGTAAATAATTGCATGAATAAAAAAAGCAAAACTTTTCTCGTTCGAGATATCGCGCGACCCTTCTGCGCGATATAAGGGGACACATTGACGAATACAGGTCGACAAAACTGCACGCAACTGGATCGGTTTAGGGGAATCGGCACGAAACGGAGCCGCCAATTCGTATTACGGATTAATTAATCCGACCTGTCCCGTCTCGCGAACGAAGCTATTAAATAAAACATCAAGACAATTGATTTCCGATATCGGCATTACGCGATCGGATACCGATAAAATACGGCTTATCTCGCCGTTTTGAGACGAATCGTTCATGCGGCCAGCATTAAGTGATCTATAATTATATACAGTCGCGTAAAGTAGACCACGATACCGTCGTTACATCACGAAAAAATCGAATCGTATGTCCATTATCTTCGAGATAGTGACGTCTCTTCGATGACGCGAACATGTAAAATGAATTGTCATTCAATTATATTTATCACGGAAAAAAAATCGTGCGAGTAATAATAAGTAGATTGAATGCAATTGGTGGAATTCAATTGAAATTTAATTTTAATTTAATATTCAAAATGGTAATTTAATACCCCTTCATATTTGCATGTGTACGATTTTCATATTGAAAATGATTTAATTTATAGTTGATCAATTTATCATCTGCCAAAATTGATATCTATAAACTAGCCGTGTTTTTCAATTTTATTAGATTAGATATCTTTTTTTTTCACGTGTAGATACATGTATATAAAAGTGTCAATATATAACCAACTTAATCCAGATTGATTACTCGTACATTTTTCTTATCATTTTTTTTTAATCAAGAATTCTGATAAAATGTGATTGGCCCAAGATCAGAATAATGCGCTTTGCTCGATCGAAGCGCATTAAAATCTACATATACATTCAAACTTACCTTTTTCCATTTAAGTTAAATGATTCGAATAATTTGAAAAACAATTCGCATTTGCATCAAATCGAGATCATCGCAGCACAACCTCAATTTTATCACTAATACCATTGATACCGTTTCGATAAATCACGCATTAATAGTACAATTTATTCGAAAAATACCCTATTTACTCTATTTGTTGTACACATCAGTTGCAGGCTCGTTTCCTTGCGAAATCCCAATATCTCTTCATTATAAAGTATCCGCGTTCAAATAAAGTAACACGATGATAAAGAAAAATCGCGTTCTCGTTTCGGAGCGCAACCCCATTTTATCACTAATCAGCTGCTTCCATTTTAAAATCAAGCATTAAATATTATAATTTATTTTAAAAAAAACAAATTTTCAACCATCGTTTCCTAATAAAATCCCAATTTTTCTCTTTTTTCGCGCTATCAAAAAAAGTAACACGATGATAAAAAAAGATCGCGTTTTCGCTTCGGAGCACAACCCCAATTTTATCACTAATCAGCTGATAAATTTACTCCATTTGTTATGCACATCGATTATATCATTTCATCGTAAAATCTCAATTTTTTTATCTTCATCGTCGCGCTACCAAATAAAGTAACACGTTGATAAAAGAAATCACGTTCTCGTTTCGGACCACAACCCCAATTTTATCACTAATCAACTGATACGTTTCGAGAAATCACGTATTAAATATTACAATCTATTAAAAAAAGATAATCAAATTTACTCTATTTGTTATGCACATTGATTGTATCGTTTTCTGGAGAAATCCTAGTTTTTTCCTCTTCATCATCGCGCTATCACGCACGCAAACAAAGTAACGCGATGATAAAGAAAAATTGCGTTCTCGTTTCGGAGCACAACAATTTTATCACTGAATCAGCTGATACGTTTCAAGAAATCACGTATTAACTAATCTATTTAAAAAATAGCAAATTTTCAATCATCGTTTCCTGTCAAAATCCCAATTTTTCCCTCTTCATCATCGCGCTATCGCGCGCGCAAATAAAGTAACGCGATGATAAAGAAAATTCGCGTTCTCACATTTCGGAGCACAACCCCAATTTTATCACTGTATCAGCTGATACGTTTCAAGAAATCACGCATTAACTAATCTATTTAAAAATAGCAAATTTTCAATCATCGTTTCCTGTCAAAATCCCAATTTTTCCCTCTTCATCATCGCATTATCGCGCGCGCAAATAAAGTAACGCGATGATAAAGAAAAATTGCGTTCTCGTTTCGGAGCACAACAATTTTATCACTGAATCAGCTGATACGTTTCAAGAAATCACGTATTAACTAATCTATTTAAAAAATAGCAAATTTTCAATCATCGTTTCCTGTCAAAATCCCAATTTTTCCCTCTTCATCATCGCGCTATCGCGCGCGCAAATAAAGTAACGCGATGATAAAAAAATTCGCGTTCTCACATTTCGGAGCACAACCCCAATTTTATCACTGAATCAGCTGATACGTTTCAAGAAATCACGCTAATCTATTTAAAAATAGCAAATTTTCAATCATCGTTTCCTGTCAAAATCCCAATTTTTCCCTCTTCATCATCGATCGCGCGCGCAAATAAAGTAACGCGATGATAAAAAAATTGCGTTCTCGTTTCGGAGCACAACAATTTTATCACTGAATCAGCTGATACGTTTCAAGAAATCACGTATTAACTAATCTATTTAAAAAATAGCAAATTTTCAATCATCGTTTCCTGTCAAAATCCCAATTTTTCCCTCTTCATCATCGCGCTATCGCGCGCGCAAATAAAGTAACGCGATGATAAAGAAAATTCGCGTTCTCACATTTCGGAGCACAACCCCAATTTTATCACTGAATCAGCTGATACGTTTCAAGAAATCACGCATTAACTAATCTATTTAAAAATAGCAAATTTTCAATCATCGTTTCCTGTCAAAATCCCAATTTTTCCCTCTTCATCATCGCGCTATCGCGCGCGCAAATAAAGTAACGCGATGATAAAGAAAATTCGCGTTCTCACATTTCGGAGCACAACCCCAATTTTATCACTGAATCAGCTGATACGTTTCAAGAAATCACGCATTAACTAATCTATTTCAAAAATAGCAAATTTTCAATCATTGTTTCCTCTCAAAATCCCTCTTCATCATCGCGCTATCGCGCGCGCAAATAAAGTACCGCGGTGATCCAAGAAAATCGCGCTCAGCGCGTCGACGCGTTTCACGCGCAGTCGTCGTCGTGACGCTCACGAGGTCCACGAAAACACGTCGCGTCACATCCGAAGATGCTCGGTGAAATCGTCCGCGAGAGACACCACGGACGTCGACGGGGTCGCGAGTGCAACAAGTGCGTGTGCACCAACAACAGCGGCTCATCTCCCCGTTACCCGTCATATGCATATATCTTCTATACCTCGAGAATAGAAAAATAGAATATATTCCCCAGAGATATCAACCCTCGTCATCGAACGCTCCCTTCACGCGAGGCAAGCTGCCCTACCTATTTTCCGCGAGGCCGCAATATGTCGGGCCGCCGCCGCCGACGACGACGCACTGCGGCATCCGCTGGAGCACCGCGTCGTTGCAACACGTCCGGACGACTGTCTCGCGACGGGGCCGCCGGCGAGGAACCGCGGCCGAATATCCGAGAGCGCGTTTCCCCTCCCCCCCTTCTTCCTCGTTGACGTCGTCGTCATCGGCGGCGGTAACACCGCGATACGCGTGCGTCCCCCGTGTATTTATACATATGTATATAAGCATGTATATATATGTCACCGCCTGTCACTGAGGACGAAACGCGCGCGTGCGTCTCTGATGAACCGGTCGACCTTCAAGCGCGAAGCTTTCGAACCCCGAAGCTTTCTAGCACATGCGCTTCGTTTAAAAAAAAAAAATAATAATAATGATACGAAAGGGGTTTGATGAAAGAAACGTCACCGTACACGTGGAGCTGTCAAATTCGGACCAATATAAATTTTTATCGCAAAATACAAGTTTTTTTTCTTTACATAGCTTTCGAGCTTTCTTTTTCTAATGGGTTTTTAATCGAGTTTCGTTAAAGCTTGCGAAATCACGTACCGCCTCCGGGCTGCGGCCGCCCACGCGCTTCTCCGTCATTCGATAGGATCCCACGCGCGCGCACGCATCTCATCCGTTCAGGGCCGCGCGCGTTTATCTTGAGGATCAGGAAAACGAGGGTCGCCCGTTCTATCGATCCGCGTGCGACCCGCGATGATTCGCGATCGATCGTTCGACGACTGACATCCAGCTTAAATTTCGACGAATTTAAACGTTGATCGCGTTAAGCAGAGTTTCGCGGAACAGATGTGCGTAATGAGTTAGCATTCATCCGTGGCTTTACCGAGAACTAAATCGGGATTCAGTGTAGCAAAGCTTATCCCGAGATAAGTGCCAATGTACACATACGTCCTATGTATATAAACGTTCTATGTGTATATGGTATATGGTTGTACTATCGTCATGATTGAATGAACGATGTGGGGAGATGGATGTTATCATAGGGGAACGCATTAACGAGAGTCGTAAGACGATATTATCGTGATTACGCGGAACTTAGAATAGTAAAGTTAATATAGTTAAATATAGTATAGTTTCTGCTCCGCGTTCTTGCAAGAAATTCCAGAGAAAAATTAATTTTTCATGAAGTAATCGCACGGTTCTAAAAAAAGGCTCAATGATGACTCAATGTATCATTAAATCACGTTTCAATATTGTATGAATAAACTTGTAAAAATATAAACCATAATATATAAAATATATAAAATTATAATATATAAAATCTAAATTAAAATCTAAATTATATAAATAAGATGAGCATTCTTGTCTAGCATGTCTCAGTCGTTCTCAAAGAGATATATATATGTATAAAATATTTAAGTACTCTATAAAATTTGCATCACGCCCGTTAAATTAGACTTTAAAATTCCCAAGATTCCATCCATCGCAAAGAATGCATCGAGCTCTCGGGATCCATGGCGGAAGGTCCGTCCATCCCATAAGCCAACGGCGAGAACAGATAAAAACTGCAATTAAATTTAATCAAATTAGTAATTATCTCGGGATAATAATAATCTCGCTTTTATTATATAAAAAATAATCTATCAAAAATATTTTAGAGTGAAAAATGATTCTTTACCTATATACAGTACTGGAAATGACAGTTCCAAATGCGACATGGTAAATCGTATTTCCCACTTTACCGGGAAGCAGCAATAAAAGGTGTTCGATGATGTGATTCAACGTAATCCCAGTCAGCATAGAACTGTATAACAGCGCCGGGAAGTAATGATGGAAGTAGAGAACCCTGGTCATCGCCCAGAACGGCACGTAATGCAGGATCCATCCGAGGAAGAGCCACTTGCCGGCGTGCGTGATCTTGCTGCGCTGCTCGAGGACGACGGCGTCGTCGACGCAGCCTCGCTGCTCGCGCACGGATGCGTGAACGTAAAGAATCACGAATATCGCGAGGAAGACTATGTTTCCCCACCAAATAATGGGATTGCCGAGCAGATATATCCTCTGATTGTTCCCGGAGAAGAATTGTCCCTGTAGATTACAGATATGGATTTCTTTAGGATCCACCGTCAAGTACTGAGAGACGTATAGTAGTTCATAATCAATAATTTACTCTGTAATTTATAGGCCACTGCCAAGGCCGCGAGGACACCTCTCCCTCTTTCACTTTCAAATCCGAATTTCCTTGCAGCATCACGGCGTGTGACTCCAGGAATCTGTCGAGGAATCCCGGCGCGTACACCCGGAAACTGACGTTGGGTACTGATGAAAAATTTGGAATATTATACTCCAAGTAGCAAACTGACGTCATTAGATATCATAGCTTACATTGCACACTTACATTTGGCATACTGATTGTCCTCGATGTTCCACAACGCGTTCTTGTCTCTCATGTTCGGATTACAGGAGACTTCTTGTTGACTGTATGCCCTACATTAATTAAAAATTCGTCATCATAATGATGAAAAATTATTTATACATATATGTATAGATGAATTATGAAAAAAAGTTTAAACGTTAATTTTCATCTCTTACTAACCATTTCGGCAAGGTTTTGCCGCTGCAAGTTAACACGCAATGATGAAGATAATGCACAAATTTCAACTTGCTCGTCACCGTTTCTACTACGTCGCCGTTTCTTCCGTTCGTTATCAATATTTTCCAGACGTCGTTAGCATCACCCGTACCGTTCTGAAAGACAAAGACGATTAACAAACAAATCATGAACAATAGCGAAATTATTATTTATCATCTTACTTCTCCGTATCCGGTGACTTGGTAATGCTTCTTCGATATTGGCGCGATCTCCTTGTGCGAGTGTAAATTCCGTCTGGTGATGACGTGCTCCAGACGAACAAGATCACCGTGTTTGACCAACTCCGGCTCGGACGGTATCGCATCTGTGTCGTATTTCTTCACCAGCCATAGATTATTGTCGTCCTTGTGGGAATAGGTCGTAATCTAACGCAATCACATACGCTAATTAATGCTACTAGCGAGACACTTCGTCTCACTTAAGATCGCCTACTCATATTCTATTATCCTTGTGTTTCTCTTCGGTCGAAATTAAGATGATGACACAATCTACCATTATCCAAGATCAAACTCTTACAACACTTCTTTATGTACTATATTATACAGTATTTATATATCCAAGAACCTGTTGCTGCCTGGCACCGACTCCCTCAGGATATAAATGCCAGTGGGAGTGCAAGTAACCGCCGCCTGTGCGATGATTTTTAACGTGATGGTGGCACCATATGCCAATTGCCGCGGCATCGTCGCGTTATATAATGAATTTCCTCGCAAGAGCGACTGAAATTCGGAGCTGTAGAATCCATCGCCACTTCCGCTAGATAAAATATAAAATGTCCACTTGTGTAAATTCATATTAGCTATTTGCACACATGTACAACACCAATTTGCATATATTACATACACAGGGTATATATCACATTCTCAGGGAAATGTTAATAACGAGGATATTCGACGTTAGTAGGAATAAATGATGATAAGAGAGTATCTTAAATATTATATGTCGGATCGCACAATAATTCTCCTTACCTTTTGTTCAAAACGGAAAGATGTATATAAAAAAATAGCATGTAAAGTAAAACCGGTAATAGGATGAGACAAAAGCACCGTGCTAACAAATGTTTCCCCACATAAGACTGCAAAAAGCAAATCGAAATTGTTCTTTGGAAACTTCAACTAATTGTTCGGAGTCTTACTATTATTAAATTAATAGCGTCATGTGTGTCTAACAATCGATCATGGATATTAAGATCAATTCAATAAAGCAGCAATAGCTTATTTGCAACATTAAAAGCCTTGAAAAATAATTCTCGAGAATTACTTACTACAGGTTTAGACAAATCTCCCAATTCTCGCCAGAGCTCATACACGGTATAAAGACCCACGAGCAGAACGACAAATAGTCCGACGAATTTCACACTGATCGTGCACGCGAGCGAGGCTCCGGTAAACGATAACCACGACCACCAGGATCGCGTGAACGGCCGATCCCGAAGTGAAGCCACACGTGCCATGCCCCAGGTCGCACACATTATAAAGCACAGAAGTATCGGATCCAGGAGTATATACTGATTCAATGTCAACAATCCTACATCTGCAACGTGAATGTGACTAATGATTTGATTGACAAGTTGTTTAAATTTTATAAAACCATTGTAAATTGAATTCTTACCAAATAGAATGAGAATGGCAGAAAGCACAGAAGCGCGAATTGATTTAGTAAGATCCCACACAATGAGGTAAGATAAAGGGACGATGGATGCACCCAAAATTGTACAGAACTAAAAGACAGATAAATTGTTTTTAATAATCTTAGTTGTTTTTAATAATTTTATGTAGAAATATATATAATAAACCCTCTCCTTTCTTAAATATAAAATCTCTTGTAATTTTTATTATATATTTTACTTTTTAGTAACATAATTAATTAACTTACTATTCTCATACCGATGTAATTGACATTCTCAAATTTGTCTCCTGGTTTTTCAAAGGCAAATTTACCATCATATCCTGTCATATATCCAGATAAAGCAATGAGCATCTAAAAATCAAATTGTCTGATTAAATATTTTATATTATGTGATAGTAATTATTTAATACAAATTTTTCTTTTTTCTCTTTAAGAACATTATTTACCTTTCCCAAAGGTGGATGTACATCAAAGAAGAATGTCCTGTTTATATACCAGCTGCCCATTTTACCGAAATGTGTTTCATCCCAACTAAAAGTTAGAAGTTTCTAATAATTTTGTCTTAACCAATTAATTATAAGCAAAATTAACAGAATGCTTAATCTATCTTACCAAACATGTTCAGGCTCTGTCACTTTGTAGAATCTAGTGATTAAAGTAAGTATAATTATGCCTCCAAACACGAGCCACCAATCCCTGCAAATATAAAAATAAATTGTAATCATATCGTAATTAGTTAATATTTTCATATTTAGTCATAAATTTGTTAAGGCTGAATAATTACTCTATATATTCCAATAATATCACTGAAGAACAATTATTTTTTTTTTTTTTTTAGAGAAACAAAAACCGGATATAATTGATTTAGAATATTCATCGAGAGTAGAACCATAATTGCAATAATTTCAATTAAAAATTAAAATTTTACATACATCTTACTGTTCTCCTTTTCGTTTACTTCCGCATTCGCCGCATTTTTCGATTTACAAGTGGTTTCTTGGCCAACGTTCTTCATACTTAATTTTGATCTGCTCCGTAAATTGTGAGATATTTATATCAATTCGTTTGAATGAAAAATTATACAATTTTTCCGGGTTCTCAAAAAAGTAAACAACAAATTACACAATCCAGCACATACATCTAATCATTTTTACGTGCAAATAAAGCATAAATTACGCTCATAATATAGTAAGCATACTCTATATTGAATTTCGCGCCAACCAATAGGAGAAATCGTTTTCGAAGATCCCCTAGTTGGCGACATTTTGTCCCTAAATGAGGCAGCCTCCTATTGGACGTGCGCGCGGATCACTTGACGTGTCCCACACACGTCAGCTGACGATGACGTCATCGTGTCGCGTGCACGAGAATGCGGGCCACGCTGATCTGCAAATATAGAATAGAGGTTACGAGAAGAATAGGATGCCGAGAAAAAAAGGGTCGTCCTGTCAAAGTGGACGCTAATAGAATCGGTCACGGACAGATAATTGTCTCTCATTGAGACTTTCCCTCTTGTGCGCGAATGGAATTTCTTGAGAATTCTTTTGACGATGTTTGTTTCCTCTCTCTATTTTCTAGAGTGTCATCAGTTAGTATTCAATATATTAATAAAAATATTCTCTTTTATTATTGCGCTTACGCTATAAAATATTAATTATGTCATTGTGTTTTTTCTATTTAATGAAAATCTTAAACCTTTTTCTTGAAAAAATTTATTATATAGTATATTTTACAGCTCTTCTTTCTTTTATATAATTGACATATTATGACCTACATATGTTATAAATAGAAAACGTGATATAATAATACGGCTGAAAAGATATTTATTAAAGTGTTTGATGCATTATAATAGAAGAATGAAAATTTATAATTTAAATTAATACTTACGAATGTTTTACATTTTCAATTTTAATAAATAGAGAGAAATCATGCAGATTTGCCAAATAGTCGATATAATAACAATTTATTCAAAATTTTTGACAGATCTTGCTAATCGAATAAGAACAATGCAAGATTTCAAGAAATCCGAGAAGAGGAGAACCGGGAGAGAGATCAGTTGATGCGCGCGAGAGAGACGCACACATGGCCGCGTTATTTGACATAACGCGGTGGGGATAAAATCGGACCAAAATATCATTCCGGAGCCGAAAACGATGATACCGGGTCGCCACCGGGATGATTCCGTTCGAATAATATCTCGAACCCAAGCAAATCGTTCTTCACCTCATCGAGAAATTACGCGGTAAGGATTACCTTTCTCGTTTCACGTTTCTCCTCATCAGTTTGTTATTTGGTTCACTTGTGTCAGTCGCACCTGAGTTTTTGTGACGCAATAGATTAATAAAATTTTACTGCGGCATAATCTGCGAAAAAAAGCTCTTTTATTTGTTTGTCATAAGTGTTTAGAGTTATATTTATATATGGGATTTATTTATAGCTATATGACAGGAAGGGATAGATGTATATGTGTCAAATGAATTTTTGACACCTTGTAGATTTGATTTTTTTTAAAAAAGTGAAAAATACATACAAGAGATATGTACTTTGATCAATGTTTATGGATTTACAGATATGGCTGTGACTTGCTTAGCTTTTATTTATACATAGATATATCGCAGGCTCATGTAGCTATTTTTATATATAGAATATATATTTATAGCATAGATACATGTATATTAAATTAAATTTTTTAAATTAAATAAGTATATATAGAAAATATGTATATGATATAAATATGCATCAGTTATATAAAATTTGTGTTTTACATATTGTCAATTTAATTAAAAGATCTACATGTTTTTGGAATAATAATAAAAGAAAAAAAAAGAGTAAATTTTTTCACTCCCTTCTGGAGTAAGTTTTTTTATATACTTTTATAATAAGATACTTTATTATTAGAGAAGTGATATAAAAAATAAGAAATTATGTGTTAATTAAATGAAATATTTAAAATATATTTAGATGAGATTTATATTTAACTATAAAGAAATTGAAAAATAATTATATTTTGATTGCAGGCAAGATAGGATGGAAAGTAATACTAAGTATGTAGTGATACCTCTCCACCACCGGCCTGAGTTGATCAAAGATTGTTGTAAGTTACTTAATTCTGAATGGCCTCGAAGCGAAACTGCACGGTGTGTTATATTCTCCTTGATTCTTAAAAACAGTCTAGAAGAAGTTAGCAAGAATGTATCGACAAATTCACAATATTTGTATTATTACATTGCAGAATGAAATCTCTGATTGTATCCTGTGATGATTTTCCCACGTGTTTAATTCTGATTAATGATAAGGATCAGGTTCTTGGACATTGCAAAATATCTCTAGTTACTAGATCGAAAGTTAGCTGCTTCATAGAATCCGGTAAGCAAAGACAGGTATCCTGCTGTAATAATGTAACATTGAAATTAATTAAATTAGGTCATGTATGCATTTATATAATAAGTCAAACATTTTATAATAATCTACATATCTGTTTTAGTTGTAATTGACTATCAATGTAGAATAAGTCAAACATTTTATAATAGTCTACATATCTGTTTTAGTTGTAATCGACTATCGATGTAGATCTCGAGGATTAGGATCCAAATTATTGCGTGGCGTAGAAGAATACGTCGCGAAGAGGGGTCTGAAGAATATATATCTAAAGACGGACGGTCAAGAAGTGTTTTACTACAAGAACGGATACAAGGTGTGCGATCCGTTCAAAGCGTATGGTATTAACGACATCGTGACCGCCAGTCCGCCTCTCGGCAGAACAAAATTCAAGGAATGGAACAACGATCAGCCACCGCCGCCGCCGCCGCCTCCAATGCCGGCCTTTCAACTGTCAAAATTTTTTGACGCGCGAATGCTATCCCAAAAAACGCATATGGTAAAAAAATTATGATACTAGCTTTATATCAAAATATATTTGCGCGTTTCCTTATTCTTGTTGAACACGTTCGCGTTCATGTCAATTGAAATTAGATGATTAAAGACGAAGATTACAACAGAATTTAATAGGACAAAACAAAAATGGGTAAATTGTAAATAGATTATTTAGTATATTGAACTTTAGGCAATAATGTTTTGTCCAAGAGATCATATCACTAGTGCACATTGATTAGGGCAAATCGTTTCGAATAATCATTCACAAATGAAAATGCATTTGATTTTTCAATCTAGCTAATGTGAACTATTTACTGGATATACTTATTTAAATTCCGTTCTTACAACGTTTGTAAAATAGGAAATCATGTTTTTCAGCTATTTTTATAATAATTTATAGAGTATTAATAGAGATAGGTAGATAGGATATTTATTCTAATTTTTTTAGGTAGATAGAATATTTATTCTTAATGTTTTAGTACAATATATTTCACGAGTCAGATTATTTAAAATATGTTCTCTTTTTTTTTTATTGTTGACTTCTTGCGACAAAATAATACAAATACGCTTTCTTCCATCCAATTCATGCAAATCGTATCAGTTGTACAAAAATATATATAGATATATATATATTTACATATATATTTACATATATATACATATATAATATATTTTTCCACTAGAAAAACAAATTGCATGCATTTCATTATTTAAGTCCCCCGCATTTCATCTCCTATCATGAAGTGGTGGCGATGCCGCAAACTTTTTTGTAATACTTAGGATCCGTGAGACACTCGACGAGAAACGCACCTAAATCGTGTTTAGAAATTGCTCGTCCAGGCGAAGAATCAAATGTGACGGTATACTTTGATTTTGGAGTGTCTGTAAAGTATTAAATTTGTGAGACTTCGAGAACATCGAACTTCCTTATTCTTTCTACACATACCTGCTATATGTGGCGGTAATATCGCTACCCACTTTAGGTCAGTAGCCTTGATCATGTCAAACATGCGCTGATGATCTGCATTCAAGTCCTTAAATATAGCAGGCACTGCTTCGGGTTTATAGAATAGAAATGCTGAAAATTATAGAAATTTTGTAGAAAAACAAGTATTGTAAAGAGTACTGAAGAATTAAATACAGAAAATCCCAATGTACTAAAAGTACTAAGAAGATATTTTCTTTTAAAGCAGTAACAAAACAAAAAAAAATATATATATATTTCTATTATAATTGATATTTTTTATTTTAGCATCTTCAGGATATTTTTTGCAATTATACTTTACCAGACAGGCACACAGAAACTAATTTAATATTGTGCGCTTTCATGGCATCTATTATATTCTTCAAGCCTTGAGATAATACAGTAGTAGGACCTAAAAGTTGCATCAAATAGATACAATATATTATTTAATATTATAAAACAACAAGGAGCTATTTATATGTATATAATAAAATAAATATATGTCTGCGCTGCATACTCAAGTCATTCCTGGTTCCCAAGACCACAACAACAGCATCTCTATCAGCTACCACTTTTGAAACTTGCTCTGCATTGGTGACATCTCCAACAACTGATTCAATTTTACTTTTAAGATCTTCAGGAACTTTGGCTTCATCCCTTACAAAAGCTCTTACATCCAGACCTAGGAAATATATGAAAAAAATGCATATATGTCACAAATAAGATTTAAAAGTTAAGAGGGGAGCACACACTTTTGCATAGGTGCATAAGCATTAGCATAAGAATCTTGATTGGTCTATAAATGTATCCATAAGAAATTCAACCAATTGAATTTCTTATGCATATGCTTATCGCTTATGCAAAAGTGTGTGCTCCCTGCTTTAATGTTACACATATAATTATAGAGCTATATACAAATCATGTGCAAATAATTACATATGTATCTTGAATAAAAGAGGAAATATATTAATTTGATATTTCAAAGATAACTTTATATTGTATTATTAGTTATATCACTGCATTATTTAATAATATAGAAATATCTTAAAAATAAATCTCTCGAATTACTTAAAAAAGAAGTTTTATAATTGCACGTAATTATTATATTCAACAAATAATCAATTATCAGTGGCGCACTATAAATTATTATCAAGAATCGAAGAGAAAACTTTGCTATCATACACATATACACACGTTATATTACGGTCGGAAAATTTACCATTTTCCACAGCTGATCTTAGGGAGCATAGACCGGTGTTCCCGGTAGCACCGAATATCACAACTCGCTTCATCTCGCTGGCTCTGACTGATAATGCGTTATCTCGTAGCTACACGCTCGATTTATATCTGTCTCGCTAGACAGAAAATGACGAATCATTTTTGCGCGTATCTCAGGGATATATGTAGATACATATATCTTCTATATGTATATGTATACGTTATCATCACGCGAACGCATTAAATTATTGCATATTGATAACAGTGATTATACACGATTTGACATATATGATGTATTATTCATTTTTTATGCAATAGGTATTATTTATCATTTTTTAGATAAATATTTATATATTTATATACATTATATATTATATTATTTATTAAATATATAATTAATTATAATTATTCATCTTATTTATTTGTTCCTATTAATTAATTCACATATTTTTAAATACGCATATATTGTAATACAAATTATATATTATTCTTCATTCATAAAAATGAAATTTATTCTGTATATATAATAAAATAATTTGCATAGAATGAGAAGGAAACAATAAATGAAAGAATAATATATTCCTATGATCGAATCAAAACATTTTCCATCTAATTTTCTTTCAGAACGCGACTTTATGACGCGTATTATTAAAAATACACAAAAACGAGGATGGATTTTCAATACACGACGTTTCCGAAGAATTTCGGTTCCCCCGCAAAAATCCCCAGAGAACGAGGCTTCCTATTGGCCGCTCCGGAATCGTTCGCGAGTCGGCCGACTCTCCCGTCTATCACTCACCTGTCAAATCCTCGGCGGAGCGGCGCTGGTGGGGAGGCGCAGGCGCGCGCTCGCGCATTCGAGGCCGCCATTTTGTCACGTTATTTCTAAACGCATCCCCCACCAGATTGAAAACAAGCGAAGGTCGACGCTTGTGTGTGACTCCCTTGCTTACGATCGCGGGGCCGAGAGTGTTCTTTGGTTAGGTTCCTTGGCTGCGTCGTGACCGGGGCTTCTGGCACTCGAACAGTAAGTAATATCCCCGAGGCCGGGGAAGCGCGCGCGACCTTCTCTCGCGTCCGTCTTCCTCGTGTCGTCCGCGCGGCGACGCCGCGTCTTCGGTCGCGCGCGCGTTTCCCCCGAGACGGAAGAGAAAGAGGCCGCGCGAAGAAGTGGAGAGAGAAAGAGAGACGGCTGCGCGGCACACGTCGTCTTTGTCCGTCGTCCTCGGGGAAGAGGCACTTGGTCGTGCGGAACCCTCGTCGTCGGGATCCCGTTCTCTCGTCCACGACGTCGTGACCCCGTCGTCTCCGGAGGCGGCTGGATCCGAAGACGACGCCACGTATCCGACTCTCTTCCCTCTCGTTATAACCTCTCTCGCCCATCAATGCTATAACCTATATAATTATAACCTTTAAGAGGCCGCGAGACGTCAACACGCTCGGCGAGACGTCGATCCGGCCAGATCCGGTTGGCTTTCGAGCCAAGTTCATTCCGATTATCGTTTGTCGAGTTTCGATCGCGGGACGAGGGAGGGGGATTATTCCGATATTTATTCGCCGTATGTTGTTCGAGTAATCGAACTTCAGGGCTGGAGAAACGGGAATGTGTCAGCGTCCGCGGTTCCTCGACGAACGTCTCGCCTTTCTCTGTGTGACGTAATCTTGAATCCGCAGGGGATCGTCCTGCTGCGTCTCGGGAAATCGACGTTCTTGCGAGAAAGACTGCAATTGAGCCGTAGACGTTGAATAATGAATAGATCACTGTCCATTCTGTAAAGACTTGGGAAAGATAATTCCTGTAACAGGTTTGTGAAAGTTGGAAAAGGTCCTTTTGTCTCGTAATAAGTTTGTAAGATCAGTTGCGGTTCAATCCGTATGATTAGGACAGTCATAAGATCTTGACGTAAGCTGATGTAACACAAAAAGTACTTATTTCATTTATAATGTTGCAGTGATTTCAGTGATCAAGTAGTTGGAAAACCTAAGAAAAATGGACGTCGCTGGTGATCTAAATCTGCAATGGGTGGGAGACGTAGAGCTTCACGAGGAAGTGATATGTGGACTTGAAGCACAATTGGTTGCTTCGGAGGAGGAGGTGATAGGCGCTTGCGAGGAAGTGGCGGTTGAGGAAACCGTCGAGTCTGTTCCTGATGTAGCGGTTACGACAGAGTCTGAGATACTGATGGTACCTCAGACTAACGATATGGAATCTATATATATAGTGCCGCAAGATCAGGGCCACGACTATCTGAATATACAGGTGACGGAGGAGGTAATAGCTGACAATTGGGACAGACCTGGTCCAGATGATGGGTAAGTTTAACATAAATACATTCATACTTTAGCCAAGTTTTGTATGTATTAGTTCAATTTGATATTTAATCTAGGATGTCTCTTAAGGGGTGCCTTTTCATACGCAGCATACTGCAGCAGCAAATCAGTCACGTGATCAAAATATATTAGAGCATATTTCTTAGTTTTCTTATTACTTCAAGGTTTTTATATTCTCATAATAATCTATTTTATCCTTAAAATCCAGTATTTATCTAATAATAATTAGAATCAACTAGTTCTGTATTCTTCTGCTTTTGCTGTTTGTTCAATTGAACTTCACCAATAGCAACAAACTCCTGCAGCAGCATGCTGCACATGAAATGATACCTTAAGACTTATCCATCAACATTCCACAGTTTCACATTCTTCCTTAATTTTTTCAAAGCTTGCCGCAACATAATAAATTATTCCGTTTGAAGGGTCGAGATTCCAGAAGCGAAGGTGACACATGATAATCTATTGGAATACGACGACATGGAGATACCGTTGCCAATCGATCAAGACTCGTACCAGAACGCTCGACCGTATCCTTGCGACTTCTGCAGCCGTAGGTTTCGCAAAAAGGCGAATCTGATGAACCACATGGTTGCGCATCAGACGGACCGACCGCATGGCTGCAACTTGTGCGGAGCGCGTTACGTGCGCAAGTGTGACTTGAACAATCATCTGAAGATTCACGCGTACCCGCCGACGCGGGACGGTCTGGAGGACGAGTTGAACGACGAAGATTCTCTAGCGGTCGAAGAGGAGGACGCGACGACGACCGGCACCAAGGGCAGACGCAAGAAGGTTCAGTCAAGCGCGCCGCGTAAACGGAAAGCCAACGCCGCCGCTGGTCTGCCGAGGCGCAACAACATCGAAGAAGTCAACATCAAGATAGAGATGGGCAAGTATGTGTATAATGAGTACGATAACTACAAGGACACGCTATCGCTACTCGAAGACGACCTGACCGATGGTGATTCTGCCCGCAGCGGCAATTTCGCGTCCAGCTCGAGGTGGCAGATGGACAGTGAGATGTCTGTCACCGGCGGGCAACAGTCACCGCAGTGGCCCGTCACTGACCCAACAAAGCCCTACGTCTGTCAGTTCTGCGGGGTCGGCTTCGCGAGGGAGAAGGCACTGGCCTCGCATGCACGTATCCACGGCGGCGACAGTCCGTTCGAGTGCACTTCGTGCGGCGAGATGTTCTGGGACGTCAGCACTCTGCGGGAGCACGTGCGCGTTAAACACGGCGGTACTATTCTTCAACAGGTATCCGATATGGAGGAGTACGATAACGATGCCAGTTACACGGCTGACAGCGAGAGGTTTGGCGAGTTTTATTGCAACACCTGCGGGGTACCCTTTAATCGTCTGGATCTGCTCAAACGTCATCAAAAGTAAGAAATCTAATAACCATCGCTTTTCAATGCAGTTGCTTGTATAGGAGCTAAACATTATTTTTGGAGTTATCAGTTATCGAAAATTCATAGGTTTAAGAAAAATTACATTTTAATGGAATTGTTTAAGCATCATGATACTTAATTAAGAATACTAAAGAATTATAAAAGAAATTTTTCAGAATTTACAAAAAGTATATATCGAATTATTTTGGGATTTATAACTTTTTTTACGTATTTATATTTTTTACATACATTTCAGTGTGCATATGCGTGTATGTATGTGAAAATTTGTATCAATAATTAAAAACATATGATTGAAGCAAAATTATACTTATTATAAATTATTTATTAATATATTATATAGTATAGATAAATTATATAATATAATTAAAATAATAATTTATAATTGTATAGTATATGTAAAATATATTAGTAATATATGTAGTTAAAATATGTTTATAAAAAATATTAATTTTGTATACATAAATTTACATTTATACATATTTTTAATCATTTAATAGCTTGTATTGCAAGTTATTAATATATGAATTAAAATATTAATATCAGAGAAATCTGTTTGTGTAAAGTGTGATATTATGTATTTAGATCTCACATCAAGCAAGAAGTGGATACAATGGAGGGTTCCAGTCAGCATCACGTGTGCAATGTTTGTGGAGAATGGTTCGAGGAGGCATTAGCATTATTGGCACATGCAGAACTTCACGCTTCAAGGTATAGTTGCATTCTTATAGCTTTCATTATAGCTTCCAATTATCAACATAATCGCGAAAATAGTATTGAATTTTATTTATCAGTAGTAATTTGAAGTCTGATGAAATAGAAACTTAATATATGTAACGCTATATAGTATATATATGTGTGTATATTTATTTGATAATTTTTATTCATACCAAGATCTCCTAGTCGCCGTTGTCTGTTGTGCGGGGCGAGATGTCGCGATGAAGCTGAAGTTGCAGAACACGTACAGCAGAATCACGCCGAGGACGCGCCACCAAACACGTGTACGCTATGCGGAAAAACATGCAAGGACAAACGCAGCTTATTGAAGCATTCGTGGGTGCACAATGTGGACAAGACCTTTAGTTGTACAAAGTGTACAAAACGCTTTCACAGTAAAGCCAGATTACGAAGGTAATATCTGTAATAAATATTACAAAGCTTTATTGCTTTCTCTGGACATGTACATTTACGTCGTATTACATTGCATAATAGTACAATCGAAATGTACATGTAATATACATTTACATATATTTAATATTTTATCCGTAATTTTTTAATTCTTCATCTTTAGCTTAAAATTCTCTCGCTATTTTTTGTATGTAAATAATCGGACAAATAATTGTGTTATCCAGGCACATGGTATCTCATCGTAACAAAATGGTAGCTTGCGATGAATGCGGCGAAGAGTTCCCCGATGGAAGGGCTCTCGTTAGCCACCGTCACTCGCATAACAAGGAGTTAGGCGGCCGCTCGTTCCCGTGTCGTGAATGCGGCAAGACGTTTGGAAGTCGCAGTTCACAGCAGATCCACATACGTATCCATACGGGCGAGAGGCCCTACGGCTGCCGATTTTGTTGGAAGGCTTTCGCCGACGGCGGTACCCTGAGAAAGCACGAGCGTATTCACACCGGCGAAAAACCATACGAATGTGCAATCTGTTCTCGAGCTTTCAATCAGAGAGTAAGTTGATTGTTAGAAATCGCACGAAAAATTATAAACGGAGAAGCTTGAATTAATTATAATCTGGCGATATCATTTTGAACGATATTAAAATCTTCAAAACAGAACACATTGAAATAATGTTAAATCGCGTTCTTTAAGGCTCTAGAGTATACTCATCGCGTCCTAATATCTTCATTTAAAAATGACATTAAGAATTTTTAACTGTGTTTTCTTGCCTCTGACGTCACAATTCAAACATAGTCGGCGAGGAGCTCGGAGCCTTAAAGGATGTTTCAAGTACACACGAATGATCAAAACTAAATTTCATATTCCGTTCGTTACAGGTGGTTCTCAGAGAGCATGTGCGCGCCCATCATTCCGGTCCAGATCCAAAATGCGTGGGCAGTATGACGCCATTTTTATGCAAGGTATGCGGCTTGTCATTCGGCACATCTGAGGAAATAGTGGCGCATATAGTACAGCATTGCGACGACAATACTGCATTGAGTCGTCAGCCGCCGACAGGACCACGTAAATATAAGAGAAGACGCAAGTTGAAGCCGCACGAGACGAACACGGTGGTACGTAAGAACGAGTTTTCGTACGACATGATGGAAAGCGGCACTGCTAGTGGTGGCAACGTTGTCGCCGCTGGCGGTTCCGATTCGGAAGATAACACGAAGCGAAAACTTGGCAAGAAGAACAAGCAACATCGGTCAAATGTCGAGGAAGGTTACCAAAATGTCTTGAAGAGCTTCGAAAGTTCGCTGCAGAATATAAACTCGATCGTGAGCAACTCCAAATTGAACGCGTCCAAAACGAAACTTTCGAAGAAGAAGCTACGCAAGGAGGAGAAAAAGGAGACGCAATCGTCAAATCAATCTGCCGGCCGACCAAAGATGATACACACGCAAAAGACGCGGGTGCCGGTGGAAGTGGGTAGTGATGGCGCGAAGAAGGGTCAGAAGACGAAGACGATGGTTACGCGGACGCCGAAGGTGATGCCAAACGAGCACAAGTCTGGAATCTTCCCCGGCGGCGAGAGAAATCGACCGCGCACCAAAAACGTCAGTTATCACATCGAGGGTAAACTGCAAGTTACTCCGGCAATGTTCCCAGCAAAGTCGGCGAAGGAGGAGCAGCAGCTGATGGTGAACATTAAACAAGAGCCAGGCATACCAAAGGCTACCGGCGACAGTCGCAGGAACAACAATGGCAATATTCTCGGCCTTGGCAAGAGTCAAGAGTCAACGACCAAGAAGAGGTCGGCCCCCTTAAAGAGATCCAAGAGACAGAAGGCGATAGTGAAGCAGGAAATGAATGCGACAGTCGAGCCGGAAGAGCAACAGCAGCAGCAACTACAGAACAATAATAACAATAACAATAATAATAATAACAACATGGAGAACAGCGCTGATCCAGCGCGACTGATGGAGCACACAGTGGACGGCAACAATCTGGAAGTCGCGTTCGAAGCGAGCGTCGTCACCGCTCAGGAAGAGGACCAGGAGAGTATATTGCCACATGACGCGACCGAAGAAATGGACAACAACGTTAAACTCAGTGTGAAGGTGGAATCGACGCCGCAGAGGATGCTCTCTGTGCATAGTGTTATCGCGCCGATGGACGAGGTTCCGGAGACAATAATACCGGACACGGTGGAGTACACGTGCGAGATGTGCGCCGCGGTGTTCTCCAGCCGTGCGGAGTTATTGGTTCACGTGCCGATACACATTTGATTTCATAATTTATCCGAGCCGGAAAGCGGCGCGGAGATTTGTTCTAATTCTTTAAGCATACTAGTTTAATCAAATCGAATATTTCTTTATCACGTTCGATGAGGTTTGTTGTTTCACAGGAGGCGACGATCGTTGATCCTCTATCATTATTCCTCCCCTCCCACTCGTCCCATCCTTCTCGCTCTTTGTTCTGCCAAGCGTCGTGATTCAATTATCTATACTTATCATTCTGTCGAATGCGCTCGAATTTTCGTATTTCGCGCATTAGATGATTTATCGGCCATTATTTAATCTAATTAACATCTGATTATTTGCGATACGTTTCTCTTGTATTATACATTCTCTGCGGACACTCAAGTTTCATCTTCACGTTTGAGTAGATACGAATAACTGATTGTTCCAAACTAATGACAGGATGAATATAAGATGTCTATATGATATCATGAAATGCTGTTATATATCACTATATTGTATATAATGATATATGATATATGATATATATAACACATTGCATATCTTGGTTTAAAAATTGTCTAATATCGAAACATAATATGACGACGAGATTGTCTATTATTTTCTATATGGAAAATGCTATATGACACGTGAAAACTATGCAATTCTTTTTATGATACTAAAACTTTACTGAATGTTTACTTTCGTGAAACGTTTCGTATCATCATAATTTTTGTCACTTGTTGGTAACATGTTGGTAATTTTCATCTTTCCTACTTCAAAAAAATAAAGCTAACAATTAATAGGATAACAAACTGTTATCGCCCTCAATAGCTATAGCTACTTAAGTTATAATAAAAAACGTCAAAACATCCTGATTGAAATTCACAAACACTAAAATAAAAAGTCTGCGATAGTAAATTCAACACTTAAAACATAAAAAGAATTACATGATTTTCATGTGTTTACGTACTCCATATCTTACTTCTCAATTCATATAGCACTTTCCATGTAAAAAACCATATAACATGTGAAAAATGTTGCGTCTCTTTTAAATGAAAACATTAATTCCATATTGTACGCAGACACAAAATCCGTGCAATTCTTTGTACAATATGATACTATAAATGCAAAAAGAAGAATTCTGAATCTGCGAATACACTAATTAGGATGAATTAACTTATTTTTGTAATGAGAAAACAGAGGCAAGGAGTAAAGTGTTGAATTACCGTCGTGAGCCACTTTTATTTTAATGTTTGTCAATTAAAATTTTTAGAATCCTCCATTGTAACTATAAGTTCGTTATTATGACGTTTCTTTCATTTTTCTGGAAGAAACCTAATTAATAGATATTTATTTGTCACCGACAAGAGTGGCAATAATTATGATAATAATGCGAAAAATATTTCACAAAACTTGAGATTGTATGAATGCAGAAAATGTTAGATGATTAATACAGTAACCTTGTAAAAATCATCAAAAACGTGGCTTGCTCTCAAGAATTAACAAAATAATTGCACTGCTATAGCACTGCACGTAGGATATTTGTATGAATGTTAGTTTTTACTTTTAGCACGTAATTTTAGTTTATTATTACGATTGTTTATATCGTGACCAGTGACCATGATCGATTCTTTGAATGAGATGTGAATGATACTATTACAATAGTATTGTTAGAGTTAATTAATTATTAGAGGAACAGAACAGAAATAATGAGAGAATCAATTCTAAGCACTGTCTCGAACATTAAAGCAATCGTCATGAAATATTCACAAATTTAATTTAATTAAATGTTCTTTAAATCTTTAGACGCTGTCGACTTTTACAAAATTAACGACTTCGTGTTTCCTTGTACATAAAATTTAATTACGCTCTTATGTTCTTTTGATATATATTATAGGAAAACCGATAATATCATATATATATATATACATATATATATACATATATTCAAAATTGTATAAAATGCCGCACTGATATAGCTGTTACTTAAAAAAATGTAATAAATGACTATAAATTTGTTATTCTAATATTGTGTGTGGCTGGCGAGTTCAAATGAATCTACTTGATTCAGATACCTTTTTTTTACTATCAATCATCACATGAGCAAGAGAGATCTCGTTTAAGAGAGATCTCGTTTTACGAACGGAGGGAAAAGAAATACAATACACATCGTATAAATAATATACTAGTCCGTGTTATAAGATTTGCATGATTTCTTCACTTTTTAAATTTTGGAGACTCATGCTGCTCATTATCAGATCCACGAGTTTTCCATGTATTTATTTATTATTTAATTAATAATAATAATTTAATAATCAAATTTCTTTATAATTTATCGCGTAAAAATATTCGCCTTTAAATCAATATGTGTATATATATGTTTCTATTTGCGTGAATATCAAACAATTTAGATGCAAGAAGCCATTATAATTATTAGATCTTTTTCTAAATATTTTATCTTGATTTTTCATCTTTAAGCTTTGTTTAAACGCAAGTAGCATATATATATAATTGCAATTAAATGTTAGGAAACTCTTTAAATAGACACTTGAAAAAAAATGCATAAATAAATGCGTTTTTAAGTTACCGCTTTTTAAACATCTCGATCAGTTGTAAAAACTTTATCGTTTTTTACTACATCACAAATGTGTTGACTTCGTTAAAATTAAAAACGGAGCTTTTTTAAAATTGATTTTAAAATTGATTTTAAAATTATAATCAATTTCTAGAACAAGTATAATATACGAGTTATTATTTTTTAAAAATGTAGTCAATTCTTTTCCGAGTTTTGACTACGAAGAATATATCGGATTCAACACTTTATGTATCTCTTGCCATGGCATTACATTTTTTTTAGATTATTCGGATAATTTATAATGAAATTTTTATTAACATACTACGTGTCCTGGCGACTATGATAACTATGTTTAGTTATCGGAAATAAAATTTTGTATCACACCGATAACTTTAGCGCTGATAGAGAAATAGAAAGAAAGAGGGAGAGGAATCCATACATTGCATATTACGTTGGAATAGAACATAGAATTCATCATAGAACATAGAATTTATCAAAGTTAAAAAAAAAGAGAAAAAGAAAGAACTCGAATGTGTGCTCATCTGAACGTTGACAAGAGTATTCTAGACGAACATTTGTAGTCGTACGACATTTGTATTCTTGCACGGCGTTGATTAAGGCAATCAATCAAAAAAAAAAAAAGACAAAGAAGAGAGAAACAAAGAAACGAGCGCGTGTGCCCTATTTTTGTAGCCAAAACGTATTTTTGGATACGACGAAAAAAATTCCGTATTTCTCGAAGCGTAGTAAGATGTACATTTAATTGATGAGAGGGAGAAGAAGGATCGGCGGCGTGCAGTGCCTACCTAAAAAAATTTGCTTCTATTTCTCCGGGAAGAGGGAGGGAAAAGAAAAAAATGGGTCTGTAAAGAGAGGATATTAGCTTGACATCTTCGAGAGCCGGCAAAAATTCGATACAAATCATGAATGTACGAACGAGCGAATCCGGAAGAGCATCTTTGATATCGTGAAGATGGAGAGATGGAGATCGCATTTATTCGGTAATTTTACATGGAGTGAAAAAAGAAGTTACAAATTTATATCAGTATATTTAGAAAAACAACCGGACAGTTAATTATGGAAAATTATATTTAATTAATTTGTTGCTTACGTTTCATTTTTTTTTCTACGGGATTTATTCGCGCTAAAAAAATTGAATTCGAATAAATATTTTTTTAATGCTGCCTAATAAATCATTTATTTGAAACTATAATAATATTGATTTGATGTGAAAAATATTTATTTGATATAAAAAATCCTTTTCAAAGCAGATAAATATCTATTTCAAATATATATATATATATATATATATATATATATATATATATATGTATATTAAGCAGCATTGAAATAGATATTAATTAATTTAATAATTTTTTTCAGTGCAAATCTTTTGATTAATTAAAGAGATTCGTAATGAAGATAATAAAGTTTTGTTTATTCGTCGCGATCTCGTCCAATCTCCACGATCTCTGTTTAATTGTATCATAGTATTTTCTATCGTATGTGTCCCAGCTACACGACAAAGCTAACACAACTTCCTCTTTTAGCAATATTATATAAAATATATGTATAATACAGCTGCGCGAAACAGCTACTTCGTGCGAGAATTTGAAAGAAAAAAGCGAGATGATTATTGTATTAGAATATATTCACACACACACACACACACACACACACACACATATATATATATATATATATATATATATATACACACATACATGTGTCCCTTACTTGTACAGTTGCGAGAATTATACGCTTTTAGGGACGAGAAATATATGACCAATGTAAAATAAAAAAAGATATCGGAGGAGAAAGAGAGGAATATATACATGTAAATATATACATATATTTACACATCACACACACACACACACTTAGACACACAGAAGATATGTAGTAAAGTGCGAAAATTACGCGAGTAAAATCGCTGGAAAATTTCGCCCTTCTTCTCTTTGCGAAAGGGAGATTCTTTTTATCGCGATTATATACATTCCTCTGTTACATCGCTAATCGATGTATCCCTCGATGGTGTGTGTGTGTCTCCCCGAAAAAATTTTATGACGATTACATTTTTCACGATTACATCAAGAAGATGAAAAAAGCGTATTTAGGGTGGAAGAGATGATGTGACGAGAAAAGTGTAGGAAAAAAGGATAATAAGGACGAGAGCGAAACAAAGTAAAATAACACATATGCACATACAAAACATACACACGCATACCTTTTTCAAAAGTGAGAAGTCACTCGTATATAGTGTAATTATGCGACTTCTTTCTCTAATTAAAATTAAGGCAGAACGTAGAGTAATATTAGTCGTAGGATATAACAAGATGTTGCATGATGAAAATTTCACACGATTTGATCGAGAGACAGAATGAGAGAAAAAAAATTAAAAATACGTGGATGTGTGCGAGAAAGAAAAAATGTGCGTGCGCGGACACATGTATATGTGTCTTACATTAAGTGTACCTCTCGAATTGTAAATCGAGCTCCGAAATGTGTATAGATTTTTAAGCGCACTGTCAAAAAAAAAAGAAATAAAAATAAAAAAAGATATAGCGTCCGTTCTCCAGTGAAACTAACAGAATCGCGCGATTTCATCAGGGACGAGAAACAAAGATAGTAGAGAAAAAAAACTCGTGTACATATAATTATATTACCTTGGACATGGTATAGCGGTTTACTGTTAATCATAGTTGTATACCTTTCTTGATTTCCCATTGAATAAATCATCGATATATATAAATATATATATATATATATATATATATATATATATATATATATATATAATATTATATAATATATATATTATGTATTTTTTGTTACTTATTATTTTTGTTATATCTCGCAGAAGTTGCTTTTTGATGCTTTTGCTGTAAAAATTTGTGTAATTACGTATTTTGATATTACAGTCTTGAGTAAATGTAAAATTTACTCAATGATACGACAAAATTTAACAATGATTGAACCGATGGATATGCAAAGACTTCTGTCGTGTGAAAGATTTGATAGAAGGCTTACATGTGTGGGACCTTTCGCAAATGTGTCTGTTCCTCGATGCCCTTTAGCGAGATGACAGCTGCACACATCGTAAACGAAATTCCTGCTGATGTCGTGGTAGTTGTGCACGTGCCTGTTCCGGATGCCGATCAGAAGCTCTTATTAAAGATGAGGACAGCTACCTATAAGATTGCGCGCCAATGTAAGTTTGCAGTGGATCATCAGATTATGAGACATAAAAAATATTCCTTTATTCTTTACTTACAAAAGATGCATCCATTTCTCTATTATCTTTGAGTTAATTCCACATGTTACTTTCGATGTTGGTTCGCATTGTTCTATACTTCGAAAATCCAACGTGCGGTTTCTTCCAAACTCCTATCTTGTTTCAGAGCTGTCCGAATGAGAATTGTCGAATAATCGTTTAGCGATTGCAATCTTTTGTTCAGATCATCAAGATGAGTTAGTGATAGATATTTCTTACCAGATATCGTTGGATGAACTTTCTTCACATTGATCGAGAATATTGAATTCGTAGTCTCTTAGAATTCATAATCACAAATTATATCCAATATGTTTCACCTTTTAATTCGATACTCGATACATCCACTTGAAAAAAAGTCAGTACATATGTTCTTTCGCGGCGATTAAACTATGTGACAATTCATGATCAAACCTCTCATAATTAATTAAGTATGATTTCCGGCTTAATGGTAGATTGCAATTGATACAATGCTAAGGATTCTCGGCAAATTGGATCTCAGATATATTGTTTCAATTCGTACTTGATATATCGGAAGTGACAGCTGCACATATACTCAAAAGTATTTGGTTTAAATTAGCGATTTTTAGTTTAACTAACGATTATTTAAATTAACAATAGAGTAACGTTGTAATATATGTATGTTCAGATACTTCGAAAAACAAAAATAAATTCCTTATTTATATTTAGGCATTGTAAAAGCCTTTACGATGTTGTTAAAAATTTTTATTGTTTCTGCAATTTCAATAATTAGTTTGAATAATAATAAGAGCAAGTATGCTCATACAATTTCTTGCAACTTCAAATGCATGTGTTTGCAGAATGATAACGATGAGGATTACTAATAAATTGTATACAATTACCGCATTTAAGATCTCTTAATGAAGCAACTGAGGAATGGACTTAGAAAGAAAGTAACAATGCAAATTAATAAAATAATAAAGTTTATTTGACTTTGAAAATTATCTCTAGTCATTTAATACAAATGTAGCGCTATATATATATATATATATATATATATATATATA